TTTCACCTTCTTTGACTAAATGCTTACTTGCGCTATTTAAGAATACACGTGCGAGTTTTTATTGAAAAATAACAAGATAGTCAGCTTTTTGTTTTATATCCTACGCTTTATTTAACATAATGCATCGCCTATTTATGATAATTTTAGTTTCGGCCGTGACCAAATGTTCTTAATTATAGGGATTCGCTCGTGCACACGAGCTCCAAGTTAATAGCGAAGCTCCCAGGCGCAAAACATGTCTGTTATTTTATCATTAATGCTATTATCGTTTACTTAACAAAACCTTTAACGTTCAAGAACGCAACAAATTACCTTCTAATTTATATTTATCTATCATCGAAGGTCTATGACTTGTTCTGTAGTATGAATTTTGTTGATGCGACACATAAAGACAGCGAAACATTTAGCGAGCAGGTCTTTAACGGCTGCACGATAATTAGAACTAAGTGCAATCAGAATAAATGGGTTGATGGATGTACTGATCAATGGAAATACATAGTATAACAAACCAATAAATAAAAGACATTTGTCATTCAGAACAATTGTTGGATGTGACGATTTTAGAATCAAATAAATATAAAGAGGCGTCCAGCACATGAAAAATCCCAAAGTCACTGCTCGAAAGATTTTCAAAATGTTCTGGTTTTCTTTGGATCTCCGTGTACGTGTGTTGCCTTCGTTACTGCTGATTTGAAACACAAGTCGCCTCTTTAGATGCTTAAAACCAATAAAATGAACAACTAATAGTACAACCAGAGGTATAAAATATAATAAAATGAAACTTATGAAATGATACACTTTAAAAAGTAACATGCTCATAAAGTTTGTACAAAATGTTTGTCTCCCCTCGAGTACGATTTTAGAATGATAAAAGTACGGTATGGCACCTAACACAGGAAAAAGCCAGCTCAAAAGAAGAAGAATTCTCCGAACCCTGGTAGTGATCTTTATGGCCTTCAGTGGAAACACAATTGCAATGAATCTATCCAAAGATATTAACACCAAGCTCTCAATCGACACCACGTACAATACAGCTCTAGAATAAATCCCCAACTTGCAGAAAAAGGTAGCGATTGCTTGATTAGTAATTAAGCTTCCTCCAGGCTTTAACATCCCTTCTGTGACATAGAGCGGCCAATTAAGGAGCACGCTTATCACATCCGAAATGGCCATGTTGATAATGTACCAATTAGAGCTTGTTTTTAGGTTTGAAGTTCTGAAGAAGGCTGCAATCAGGAGGAAGTTTCCTGCAACTGCTGTAATAGTGATCAATGAAAGAGCGACTGTGAAGACGGTAGAAGGGACAGCAGAAAAACACTCTGATTGGCCGATTTGAAGATTTGTCGTGGAGTTGTTCATTTTCAGTAAGAATCTTTTCTTTTTATGCTCTGGTTGCCGCTGATATGCCTCTGGCGAAGGACTGTCAATCCTCGGCTTTTTGGAAAAGACGCTGCGTCTTTCCTGCTGTAAATTAGTTTTTTAAATTGCTTATTATTTTCCTTCTGCTTTTTCACCTGGCAGGTGAAAAAGCAGAAGAAACTTCAAAAAGCAGAAGAAAAACACGGTGCCGGTTGGTGACGAAAGACGAAATGAATGCTTAACTCGCTGATTTGTGTTTTCTTTGAGGAATTCGTTACATCTGCACAGTGAAAAGAAAAGACTTTGTCTCCCTCTTCCTACATGTTCTGGGAGTTATAAAACGAATTTTACGAACTTGTGACGTTTTTGGTCAGCACAAAGCATACTAAAACCACAAGCAAATTCTCCTCGCTTTGCAATCGATTTCAATTCTGTGTATGTAATTTGCAGTTGCGCTCGTTAAGAGGGAATATGCCTGTACACGTTAATTCTTTTGCTTATTTGTTTCACTTAATCAACCAAACAGCCGCTTTTTCACCCACTTGCCACGAACAGTTCTGGATCTCAAGAATTTTCGGACTGGTAATCACTTTGTTTCCAAATTACATTCACTTTTCGCCATTTTCATTGTTGATCGCATTGCCTGAATTGGGGGTTTAGAAATGCATTAAATTAATATTTCATTACCTAAAAATAGCTTTCTTCATTGATAACTTGCATCTGACCACGCCACGTCACACCGCGCAATCCCCATCGTTCGACCTAATCACCCTACTAGGAGCGTCTGAAAGCTGTCGTTGACTTCTATCGTGAAGGGAAAAAAGGGTACCGAGTTCTCAGTTAACTGAAACGTTGAAAAGAATCTTTAAATCAATTGAATAAACCGTGAATTAATAAGGAAGCGTGGTAAAGCTTTTTGACATTTTCGACAGTGTTTAAAACGTAAGTCCAGGTCATTTGTGCTGCAGCTGTATGTTCTGTCGATCTTTATAATGATCGCCTCACTTTGTAGTATTTCTTTTACTTTGTTATGAAAAGCTGTCACACTTTGCAATAAAACTTGTCGCACACCCTAATTAAAAAAAGTCACGGCTCATAATAACAATTATCGCACTATGTAATTAAGAAACTGTCCCACTTTGTAATAACGCAAGTCGCTCTTTGTGATAACAATGACAGTTGTCACGTCTTTATTCAAATTTTGTAAAAGGATTGCATGCTGTTTTCTTCAGTATTTTGTGCGTGCGGTAATGGCTATAACTAAGTATGTAAAATTCAAACTATCAGTTTATCACTGAATTTTTTATGGCGAGTTTGACGAATTCACATACCTGAACTGATCATGATGATGTGATGATGTAAATAGTTAATTTAAATGAAAGTTAATTTTATCGCGACCGATACAAAATTCTCCACCCCCACCCCCTAGGTGATAAATAATTTTGTCTTTCGTGTATAATATTTATACTACGTCGTAAGACTACTTTTTCAAACAAACTTTCCTTAGAGGAGGCCAATATTGAATTGATAACATAAAATAGTTCATATTTTGGCGTTTTGCGAAAGAAAAACTTAAAATTAGGCTCTCTCTGATGCTGGGTTGTTTGATACTGTCTGGATCAAGCAATAAACCACAAGTATATGTCATGGTGATCTTCTAAAAAAACGACACTGAGACTATAACTTTACCGTGTCTTGCTTCGTAGTAATTCAGTGATTATTGACTACTACTATAACTTGTTTAGGGAGTGTTCATGAGAAAACCAGGCGGAACCTGGCAGAGTGTGATAGTACTTGGATAATGAGACTAGTTGCCTGAAAGTTTATTGGATCAATATCAGTTTCTGGTCAACTGCCCACCTACCCACCCAACTCAACAACAGTCAGTTATAACAAGTTGGGTTTAACGTTGGGTTAGGGGAGGGGTAGGTGGGCAGTTACCCAGATACTGATATTTCTATAGAAATTGACGGCCCAGCAACTGTCAAAGAGGGTAAAAAGTAAATTTCATCGTGACACATACACCCCCTGGTGATAAATAATTTTATCATTTAAACTACGGTGTTATACAAGGATTTCTAGCCCTGAGAAAAATCGTAACAACACACGTGAAAAAATAGGCCTTTCGCGCCACTCGGTCAGGTTGACGAATGAACGGCAAAGCCTTTACCATTCTCAATTCATAGTTGTTTGTCGGAATTTTCTCGTATTATGGCTGCTAAATCACCGAAAAATCAGTAAGGCTTACAGAAAGTGACGTTCAAATTTTCCTAGATGGGAAAGGAAACCAAAATACGAAAAGAAAAACCGAAAGTACCGTATTCAGTGGCTTTTGTAATGGTATTTCCCGCGGCTGAGAACTTAAATCGACAACTTGAAGATTTGCCACGAGCCGATTTTAGCTATGTAGCGGAAAGATTTGACGAAAAAGTCAATAACTGACAATTCTGTGTATAGGAAATTACGCCCACTGTTGTTTTGTAGTGATTCAGCGCTTTTCTTTTTCATATTGAGCTTTATCGCCAACGCACTTTACGATTTTTGTTTGGGGATTGTCGATCCTTTAATTTTTATTCGTTAATAAAGTCGACTTTTGTCGTCAGTCAAGGGCTATTGTGTTTATATGATAAACAAAATAATGCATGGTTGTTTGTAGATATGGAATTGCTCTTCTCGTGTTCATCTTGACATCTCACTCGTTCGCTGCGCTCACTTGTGAGCTATCGAGTTGAACACTCGCAAATAAATTCCATATCCACGCGCGCCCGTGTATTATTTTCTATTTGTTTTTTTTTCGTGTACAAACTTATACTACGCCCCAAAACTAATTTTTCAACCATACTTGCCTTTGAGGAGGCCAATATTGAACTAATAACATAAAATGGTTCGTGTTTTGACGTTTTGCGAAAGAAATACTGAGAATTAGGCTCTCTCTGATGCTGGGTTGTCTAATGCCGTCTGGATCAAGTGATAAACCATAGATATATGTTACGTTGATCTTCTAAAATAAACGATACTGAGATTAATACTTTACCTTGTCTTGTTTTTGAGTATTTCAGTGACTTATGACTAGTACTATAACTTGTTTACAGAGTGTACATGAAAAAACCAGACTAGTTGCCTAAAAGTTTATTTCTGTTTTTTGAAGTTAAGTAATGGTTTTCACAACTCATGTGGAAATGATGACCAGAAGTAGTTACTTAGGGGAAATATTGGGCGTTAAGATTTCCTAAGTTTGGACTTTGCCAAAACAAGGAGACTTAGTCTTTATATTAAGGGGGAGTAGGGAAAGAAATAAAATTGACAATTTTCATCAGTTTATTGCCCTTGAAGTCGGGCAGATATAGAACATAACCTGATATATTTAGATGGTTTTCCTGTTTGTCACAAGAGCAAAGTAAATTTAGTTAAATAGTTATTCAAAAAATGTAGAAAGTGGAGGTTTTCCAGGAAATTAAATTTATTTCGGCGTTTCACAATTACACAGTTCCCAACTCAATACACCAAACATTTTTAAGTCAAATAAATTACTTAACCTCTAGTAAATTTCAGAAAATTTCTGAAAAAATACAATAAGTAAAAAATTACCGAAGAGTGCTGAGCACTCAGCTAACTAATAAAGAGGTTTAATATATAGTTTCAGGCAGCAGGCAACACTGCCCTTTTCGATTGAGAGTGCTTCTTAAAAATGGATGTACAAGGCTTCATCGTTCCACATCAGCCCATATAAATATCTCCACGTTTCTGTATTAAGGATCGCCAAAGGAGGTCAGTTGTTGCTGGGAGGATAGCTGGATATGACTTCTAAAGAGATACTGTTGTAACGCGCAGTGTCGAGTTGTGTTCCGTCTCCATCTACCTCAGTGAAGTGTGCATATGTTAAAAGTCAACACATAGAAATACTATCGAATAACTAAAAGAAAAATAAATGAAACCGAAGATTTTATTTATCAAACTTTTTCTGCATTTGTAATAGATAACACAACCTGGGTGGTGTTCTTTGCTTTGACTGTTTTTAAAACGAAAGGTTGCGCCTACATTGCTATGAAAATCATTGAAAATTTTTTTCTCGAAAAAACGTTTCCCAGAAGTCAAGAAGCATGTTAGTACTAAATAGACGCAAACAAAGACGGTAACTGGGTCAGTTAAAATAAATAACTCATTTAATCATTGCCAGGGGACATAGCCACAGAATAAGTAAGTGACGAATACTCTCATTCTACTTCAAATTCAAAATTATCCAATAACTAGAACCATTTTCGTCTAGGAACAAGCGATATAATCTTCAAAAAATGTTTTAACTTTCCCTTACCAGATATAGCAATTCCATCAGATCTTTTCTTGCAGCTGAACCATTTACAGCGAGTCACAAGGCAATAAAACCAGCCTACAAGGACTGTCCTTACCTAAAAAAGTTTTAAAACCTCTCAAAATTAGAAAGAAAATTGCTGATTTTGGTGATTTCGACGTAGAGTCGATAAGGAATAATTATGCAAATTACATAAATCCAAGCGAACCAAAAAGATATGGTGGCTACACGTAACCATCTTTAATGCCCATAGTTTTTAGTTTAATATCTCTTAACTGGCGTAGGAATTACAAATTTTCTCAGCCAGTGAAAAAAAAATGCCACTGAAAAGCGAAAGGTGGCAAATATCATCCTCACCTTTGGAGTCGAGAAAGTGTAGAGTACAGGATTTACAGAGGAATTTACCGGCAGGACAAATACCGCAAACCATACATACGCCACACCTTGTTCATCGTGAAATTTGCCCGTTAGAGCAAGAATACTCAGAATTATTACAGGAATCCAGCAGCTAAAGTCTGTTAAGATGATTGCCAAAACCCTCCTTGCCAACGCGGACTCTCTTTTGATGATGTTCAAGCTCACTTCAGCTTCACCGTGAGCCTTGACTCTTCTCTGTGACTTGGACACTTTCACGATAATAGATATGTACGCCAACATGATGAAGAGGAAAGCTGCGAGATTCAAACCAATAAAAAGGCCAACAGAATATTCCCAGCCTGCCAGTCTTTCTGAAGACAACTGAAGAGGTAGACATACCGAGGAACGACCTTGGAAAGGGAGGGACATCCTTTAGAGTGAACACTAATTCCTTTGTTTGTACTCTTTAGCCCCAGAATTTAACACAATTTTTCATTATTATTTATACATAGCCAGTGATTAAGGGGGAAGGGAGAAAAAGAAAGGCAACAAGTAAGGTACCTTTGTCCATGAAGTAAGCATTGTTTACTTTGGAGATGTGGCTATATCATGATATAGAATGATGTGGTTTGTTCAGGGACAGAAGGTACGTTAAGCCACCATTATGTTGACAACAGATCTTTTCTATCAAATTAAGGAAGCCCCTCAAAACAGTAGTTGTTTCACCCTTACATAGCTTCATAATATTAGTAGTCATAATAATATTAGTTATGAAAACTTAAGGAATGCCCCATAGTTTCACAGTCAATGAAATGATAACTGCAAGGTAACTAAGAGCAGAACAATTTTTACCATAGAACCCATATCTTCTTTCCTCGTTGAAAAAGTACGGAGTATCAAGAGCTGGTACCACAGCAATTGCAGTTCCGCAAAGCCACACCACGGTACAAATAATGTAAGTTCCTCTTAATGTCAGACGTGAGCATCTGAAGGCAAAAACGATACTTAGCAGACGGTCAGCGGTTATCACAGTGAGCATGAGTACCGAGACCTCACTTGAAAGAACCGATAGGGCGCCGGCCACTTTACATTGGACTCCTGACCGCCAGATCAGATCGAAACTGAAGTAAGTACCTAAAATGAAAGGATATGATATATGTGCTTTTATTTTCGTTTGAGTTACAAAAGGTCGAAAAGTTAAATTCAAAATGTACGAATAAAATCCTGAAAGTGTTTGATGAATTTGTCAGCGGGAGAATTCCTAACATTAACTTTGGCACTTGTTACCAAGGAGATTTTTGTTCCACAGTTATAAAGATGTAGACAAACTGATTTTTGCTGACTAATTTCAAAAGCGCATGAATTAAAAAGCATCTTCCATGTCTTTAAGACGCAATTTAAAGGTGAACCCGAAGCTTTATAACTTCATCGCCGCTATTGTCAAGTCTTTACAAAAATGTACTACTTTTAAAACATAGCTTGTGATTCTAAAGCACAATCTATAACTGTTCAAAAGTATTTTCAGGCTTCATCTGCACTTAGAAATACTGCATAATATGTACATGATATTAAATACCTGCCCATATCTGGTCCTTAATAGCTATTATCATGAGATACACTCCCATAAGGAAATCAGCCACAGCCAGATTGGTCAGAAGGCAGGTTTGAACTGGATGGTCGTCACGCCTGATGAGACGCCATGCAATCACTGCCAGGTTACCAACGACAGCCAGGATACCCAGCAACCAGATACTCCTTCTAGGACCAGAGGCATCGATCATGCGATTACAGCTCGACAAGGCGTTACCCTCCAGCTTTGGATACTCACAGCTTACTTTCTCAAGGTGAAGAGAAGCGTAGCAACACAGGGAGAAACTATCCATTTTCCTTGAAAGAGATGGAATATCGCTCATTGTTGGTAACAAAATAACCAGAGCATCAACAGTCTTAGGATTTTTAACGTCGCGCGAGTCATTAAAGTATATGTAATTCTTCGTCAAAAACTAACCAGGTCTAAACCTATAATCTGGTGGCCACTGATTAAGTAAAGTCACCGTGCATATGGTTTCAAATCATTCAATTTGATTGTCCAATGTGCGCAAAGTTGTTGATAAGCAAAGAATCCGAAGTTAAATTGAAAAATTTAAGGGAGGTATTGACTGCTCTAATTGCATAAAAGGAAAGGAAAATTTATTCCGTACTTACAAGTTCCGTAGACTTTTAAGATAGCTGAACGTTTCTGGAGGCATACGATATAGAAAATTGTTTTGTAGACGTCTAGGAGTAAAATTTATTGGAAAAGTTTAGGGAACAATCTTTTGAATGGTCTGCTTTGACTAAAACTGCAAGTTTTTAAGTGAGTGGGATCAAATTTAGAGAATGAATCATCCATGAAGGCGTTAGTCGTGAAGTTGTCTTTCTATGTATTTTCAGTTCTCAGTTCATTTCCGATCGCGATGGCTAATCTTGTATCGCAAATTTCGCTCATGACTGGCCGTCGCAGTTTAGTGTTTTTAATCATGCAGTTTTAGCCAACAGGAGATTTGCGTCGGAGCCGTTTTGATTTTTTTTCATAAAAGAGAAAAATGATCTGTTAATTTGTAGTCTTTGTAGTCTCCTTTTGTAAGAAGAACCACCCTGGTTAAATACCTCCTTTACGAAACTTCTTATATTTGTTTACCACACTGGCACGTGTTGCATTCTTAATTATAACTCGGGAAATCATGCATGACGCTGATCTTTTATCTCTTTTTGGATAACCTATTTCTTCGTGTTGCATTGTTTGGCATAACTGCTATCAAGAATCGAGTACCAGCAATCCATTTAGTTTATCGCGTAATACTCACAAGTTTTTCAGCTTTGTAAGCCCAGAGAAAGCGCCTGGTTGGATTTTTTCAATCTTGTTGTTATCCAGATACCTTTAAAAAATTTTCAAAGCTTGTAAGAGAACTAAAACACAAGTTAATCATAATCTTATTTTAAAAACATTAATAAAGAGTAAGCTTTCTTCGCCATGTATGAATCAACACTTACAGAGTTTTCAAACTATTCAATCTGCTGAAGACGTTGGCAGGTATCTCGACAATTTCGTTGTGAGAAAGAACACTATGAAAAAAATGATAATTGACACTTATCAAAAACATGTCTTACAATCAAACAAAACTGTACGAAAATAGTAAAACAATGATGATAATGACAGCGATAGTTATAATGATAATGACAATAACAATGATAAGGGTAATGATAATTATATAAGGATAATGATAATAATAACTTTTTATCAGGTTGTCTAACCGCCTGTGAACATTTTTCATGAAAGGTACAATCATTGGTACTTGAGTGTTGAAACATTAGTCACCACTACCAACACCAGTTCTTTTCTGGAGTAGTGCTCTTACACAGATGATCAGAACACACACTTAAGTGTTAATCTTAGTTTTAAACCAATTACTGTAATAGTAATAAAAGTAATAGCAATAATAACGATAATAATAATTGTAATTATTATATAGCTGATCAGTTAATCCAATATTGTCGGCGCAGCTATTATCCTTTAATATCTGAGAACTGTCGAATTAAGGATTAATTTTGGATAGTTTCACTAAGGACTTTAAGTTTAAAATTCACAAGCTGTCCTATTTGAGAAAAAATAGGACAGTTTATCTCAGCCAATCAAATGCAAGCAAATACGACATATGATGGAAATTAGCCAATCAGCGTAAAGTATAGCGTGAGCCTTGTAGACTTCTTGTTGGTTGACAATTGCAGAATTTAGCAAGGAAGATTTGCCCAATTTCTCCATTTCTCTGAATCTTTTCAACTATAGTAACGCAAATGAGAGATTTACTTCGTTGCCAGAAGGGGAGCTTACCAACCTAACAAAACACCTCCAAGGGTACAAAAACTTAGCTGAACGTGTTTAACGAGTAGAAAGTGCAGCGTAGAGAAGCAAGAAAGTTGGAAGATGTCCCTCGCCATGAGCTGGATGGCAAGAGAGGTACGAATGAAGAGTTACGGAAAGTGAAAGAATGTTTGTCATGCTTTAAGTGAGTTTTTTTGAGTAAGTTTTTTGTTAAATTGTTATCCTATGTTATTATCGAATTTTATTTGGATATTTCAAAATAAAAATAAAAAAATTTCAGTATTTCAGTCTATCTTTTCTCAGGGATAGTAGTTTTCCTGAAAAGGCTGTATTAAAAGTGACCAGCTATATAATTGATAAGTAATAGGACTAGATGCTGTCCAATCTGGAAATAATTAGATTAAAAAAAATTCTTCTGACAGCCAAATTGGACTTGGCGTTTGGCTCCGTCCAATTTTGGCAGTCCTCAGAATTTTTTTTCATCCAATTATTTCCAAATAGGACAGCACGTAGTCCTATTACGTATACTAATAATTACGGTAATAATTATGAAAATAAAGATAATGATAATGTCCATTGGTTCCGTTTAAAAATGCGGATCAAAAATGAGCTATCTACAGGGTTAAAATATTTATAAAGAACAAACCAAACATTTTCGACACTAGGTCATCATCAAGGTGTATTAAAACAAGAATAATATTAATAGCAAAGTATAAAAAGCGAGGAGCTTGATATCTCTTTGGGTTGGGAGGGCTCGACATATTGAGCACCTCTGTGCTTTTTGCTGACGATGAAATAAATTAGATTAATGATAGATTAAAAACATATTATTTGCTAAAAATTATTACGGCAGAAGGTAAACCATCTAGTTATCTACACATCACAGCGAGGGAATCAAAATCTTTAGGACCAAGAGACAAATTCAATTCAGTTTCAACTGATCATTGCCAGTTCGAAGTTAAGGTTCCACAGAAAAGCAATGTTATTGAAAGATTTACATAAACAAGCAAACGCCCTCCCCTTTCAGGGATTATAATGGCTGATAGTTTAGTTTAAAACCGTTTTTCGCGATAAGCGTCTTTCTGCTGTTGAGTTATATCCAGAATTTTGGGAGATGAAAATCGAAACATAAATTTCTCAACGTTAACCATTGGAGTCCACTTACAGCGTTTCTAGGCTTTGCAACTTGTCGAAGATGGGTTTAGACAGCCTGGAGATTTTGTTGTAGGAGATATCTCTAAAAAGAAGAGACAATCTAGTTAAAAATATTGTCTATGTTTAGGAGCTTTTTCCTTGTTGTTTGTTAAATGCAAAACCTTGTAACTGAACAGTAAAGAAATATGACATTTTTGCCGAGACCCTTTCAAGTCTTGTTTACTTAATTTCTGTTCAAAATTATCGACATGCTAAGTATTATCGTATAAATATCATATAAAACCAAACTGTTCAATTAAGCATCCTATCATTATGACTCGTGCTACAAGGGAGCAGCTCTAACAAGTCAGTCAGTAAATGAACTACCTGCTGTTGAAGTTTACCATGGCAAGCTTAATCCCTGTAGGAAGGAGAAGGAAACCTTCCATATGACCATTTTATCACATTTAAAGCGTCATGCTTCCCGATCATAATCGCGATGGCTGGAATATTTAAACATTTTCTCTCACGTACATGAAACCGTTACTGAATGTTATTCAGTCACTCCTAGAAATATAGCCTTTCGCTTTAGCTCTTTAGTGGACCATGAATTCATTATTTCAGACAAAATGCGTTGTAGGATCATATATACCGGTCAAATGCTTAATTACAATCAGGGGTGAAAAATAGAATAAAATGAAGCTTATGAAGTAATATGCTTTTAAAAGTAAATTTTTGATTAGGTTTCTACAAAATGTCTGTCTCTCTTCGAGTACGATTTTAGAATGTTTAAAGTATGGTATGGCACCTAACACAGGAAAAAGCCAGCTTAAAAGAAGAAGAAGAATTTTCCGAACCCTGGCAGTGATCTTTATTGCCTTCAATGGCAACACAATGGCAATGAATCTATCCACAAATATTAACATCAACCATGTAAAATACTGTTCTGGAATAAAAAATTAATTTCTGAGAAGCGTGGCGATGCAATATGGATGCTGAGACATTCTCATAAACATATTTGGAACTCTCTGAAACTTTCTTTCAGCGAAGTAATACTGTATTAAGGCTACAAGAATTTTGTGAGCTTCCGGAATCTTTTAAGATGCCCTATAGTTGTATAATATATAGATTTAGGCAAGCCTAAAAGCGGAGCTCGTATTTTTTTTCCCGCACGTCTCTTCAACAAACTAAAGCCCCTACGTGCGTGGTAATATTAATGGTTTTTCATGGGCAACTTCTCCGTGTCCGTGTTGAGGACTGATTATAAGATAGTGCCCGTGGGACAGTTGGCCGCGCATGCTAAAAGTAGCACCTTGTACGGTCAGTCGTACGGTCGTACATCCGAATTTTTTCGGCTTGATGGGTTACTACTATTTTGTATAATTATGGGGCTACGCGAGCTCCGCTATAGGGAAACGAGCAGTTGTGCTTCTCGCACGCGCTGATTGGCTGTTTCGAAGGTAATTAGTAAGTACTAATCTCCTCACTCAGAGCAGCATTGGAGACAGAATCTCGCGTCAAGCAGTGAATGTCTGATCATTTTCGGTACAGTGACAGAAATAAAGTAATTTTTTGGTTTCTTTTTGGTAGATACTATTCACCTCAGTGTTCGGCGGTAAAGAAGAACTTTCTGCAACCTTGGGAGCAGACTTTAAGTGTGCACTGTCCATCTCCACTTCTGTAAATAATACTTAATTATTGTGGGCGACCGTGGAAGTTTGCCTACAATCAATACTCTCGATAGAGATTTTGGGGGAAGCGGTGGTTACTGCGAATTTGTATCAGTGCTAACTGAAGTTCAAGTAAGTTGTGATCTCAAATTAAGTTTATAGAATATTGTATTGTTTAAGAGTTGCTCCATTGTAGCAGTTATCTTACCCAGTTACGATTGAATAAATTACTTGCTTTTATACTTGAAGGGTTTATTTTTTGTCGGTTAAATGGCCCATTTCCAACTTATCCGCATGTGTCAGAGAACTGGTGCTGAAAGTAGCTTTTCTAAACTCTTCCGAGTTTAATTTCAAGAAATCCTCTCTCAGTGATGTTTTCTCCATCGAAGTATCCATTTTTTCAATTCAAAGGCTTCATACTTTTCTCACCGTCGAGAGCGACTTTGCATTCAGCCTTGTTCTTACGCTTTAATTTTGGCACCAGATCTCTGACATGACCCACGAGAACTCAGAAATGGGCTATTATACTATAAAAATTGTATTTAGCTCCGTTAATGCGACCTGATATCAAGGATATTGAGCAGAGGGTACTTACAAAACTCGCAGCTCCGACAGGTCTTGAAAAATATTCGGTGGAAGTTTACTTAACTCATTGATGGAAATATAGCTATGGAAAAATGTAATTATTACTAGTTATCAAGCTCTGAGTTACCCTTAGTTTTACATAGTTTATATTATAGTAAAAACAATCTAACGTTATCTCAAAATACTTTGGAAAGTAACTCAGAAACTACTCGCGCTTTGGTCGGCAAACATTGTATCTTTAAGTTTACTAGCAAAACTATGGACATGTAACAGAAGCAATATAAATGTCACTCGATTTCCATAGGTTCACTGGTGTAATAATACAATTTGGGCAGTGAGATACAGTCTATGGAGCATTTCGTAAGTCAACCGCTAGTAACTCGTGTTTTATGAACATCCATCTTGGGTTAATAGCCCAGAAATGGATAAAAAGTGTTGTCTATCGTTTTAGACGGGTGTGAAAAAGTACTACAGGTAATCACCACTACAATAGTATTTAACCTTCGAAATATAGCGAGAGTATTTCACTGAGGACAAAGAAATACAGCACAAAAGACGCTGAAAGTAAAAAATTACGTGCAATTGAAAACACTCACTCACTCACTCGGCACAAATTGAATACTCACAGTTCCTCTAGGGAGAATAATTTCTCAAACGTGCCCTCCGCTATCCTACTAATCCGATTCCCTCTTAGGTCCCTAACAAAAGAGCAACACCAAAACAAACTTAATCACGTGCATGCTTGCCGCCTATACTGTTCAAGCTGTAAGGAAATGAAGTCATGTTTATTAGTGAGTTTAAAAGCACTTTTCAGCGGTCTCACGAACACTCTTCTTTTGTTTGATACTAACATACATTGAAAAAATTACAGGCTTCTGATAGGCTTAAAACGAGTGCATTCTCATGTAACACGAGTACAAACTTGTAACACGAGTGAAAATTGCAAACAGTGCCCACGGTTTCATTCGAGGACTCTTTTTGTCCCAACGGCAAAATAAAATATTGATATTCATTGCCGTCGCTGCCACCATCAACGTCGTCATCAGGGTTTTTCTTATCGCTATCATTATCCGTGTTATTTCAATGCCGGATTTATTTACATATGTCATAATATTGTTAGTTAGACTCCCCCCTCCCTATATTGTCAATCACAGAAATCCACAAATTTCAAGTACTTTCTGCTACTGCCCCAGCGACGAATAAAGGCGCGACGAAACTCGTGGATAATATGTGCTTACAGTTCTCGAAGAGACAAAAGGCCAGTAAAGATGTTCGATCGTAGTAAACTTATCCCATTGTCTGTCAGAAAGCTAAAAGATAATGATATACACGTAGAAATAACGAAAGCTAAATTACTAATAAAGGTTTCAAATAATCCATTTGTTATCAAAACCACTATCACGGCAAAAATCGTTCAATACTATCTCTATAATACTATGTCAATAGAACAGATCATTGTACGCAAAACACGATGGTGCGAACATATAGACTATGATACTTTCCAAGATACTTACACGTTAATATCACTAGTTATGTCATTGGGGTATGAGGGTGGGCGGTATGTTCTTACCCAGTTGGGTTGGAATTTTTGATAATACACTAATGCTAAAGAGGGGAGGAACGTGTCATTCGCTTTATAGCTGTGATACTTACAGAGATTCTAAAGATGTCAGATCATTAAAAGTTCCTTCTTCGATATCCAACGAATAATGATTACTAATTTTCCTGAATTTCAAAAATTCAATCAGACGTTAGCATAACACACACTCAAAGAGTAAAGCAGCATTTACATGGGCTGATACGATACTATTCATTTTTCTGTACTACAAAAAAAACATTATAACAGATTGGTATAACCGAACAACGTAGATACTGTCGAGCGGCTGCAAAATGTCATTTTTTCTCTGCTTATATAATTACATGACATCGCTCTTTTTTAAAACTTACTGCTATTGCATACATGAATTACATCATTACGGTAATAACAATAAAAAAGATATCAATAACCTTCTTTATTGCATCGCTAGAAGCGCCCGTGGGTAACATGAGGCGAATCCTGTGTTCTGATTGGCTACTCGATCGGGTGAGATGCTCGGGATTTCCCTGCTTTGATCCCGCGCATAGAAAACGTTGCGTGGAGCAGACTTTAAAATTTCGTAATTTTGGACAGTATTGGTGATGGAGTCGCAAAAGAGGCAGAAGACAGTCCTTTTTTATTCTTAATGAAAGGAAATGTTTTTAATATATGGTGAGTTTTTTTATCGAGCAAGCTAGTTCGGTTAAGATAGCTGGATATTACCCCTTATTTTTCCTTTTTACGGACCTCGGCTTCGTCTTCATTCATAAAAATGCCTAAAAGAACTCGGCAAACTTGACGTGGCGCTTGGTCAAGAACGCATATTACGATACTGATACTTCGTCCTTCATTTTAACTTATGATAATAATTTACAGATAACGATGCTTTATATAAATTTGAAATTATTCCTTCTTACTGCGATTCATTACTGCCACTGATGCTACTTCAACCTAAAATCGTTGTCGTTGTAATAACCCTTTTAGTTCTTCTACTTACAAGTACTTGAGTTGCTTAAGTCCTCCGAACGCATTTCTCGTCAAATTCCACGGATGAAACTCACCTTCAATCCATCTGTGACAATAGAGGGAGAAACGCAGGCGTTAAAAGTATATCATAAAATTTATTATCATTAGTTGTTATGGCTATTTTTTTATCCTTTTTTTCAATGAGTAACTAAAATGTAAATAATATGATGGATATCGTATTTGCATTCAATCAGGTTACACTTACAAGTACTGCAGGTCACTTAAGTTTTCAAATGACTTTGGAGAAATATGCCACAAAGAGGTATCAGCAAAAAACAACCTGGAATTAAACGGAAAAATGACGATTATGAAAAACATGCAATTGCAAAATACTGTAACATGACACTTGGCCTTCACATCTTGTAGCACACTTAATGATATAACTGAAATAATTATTTCAAACTTACAAATATCTTGTAGCGAGAGGAATGTCCCTCGGAACTGTTCCTTCGTAGGAAGCCCAACATGAAACTCCAAGCCAGAATGGATGTGAATTCAGTTTGTAACACCTGCAAAAACGAGAGCATTCTGGAAAGGAAAAGCAAAAAGGTGGTGAGAGCAACATTTCAGAAGTCATTGCAATCCGCTCGGCGATGTGATAGGGAGATATTACTCGCTTTAATAAGGGTTTTTTATTCATCGTATAAACTTCGATGATATACAAGGATTTTCAGCTTCGGCCCTGAGAAAAGCCATAACGGCGCGCGTGAAAAAATACGATAGTTTTTCACATGTGTTTGATATCGCCAATCAGCTGCCGACACGTCATTCGCTTTTCTAAATAAATAAATTTCCTAGAGCGAGAAGAAAACCAAAATACGGAAAGAAAAATTGTGGGTGTTGTGGGTGTGTATGTGTGTGTGTGGGGGGGGAAGGAGTTAATCTTATGTATTGACAAATTTTATTTTGTTTAGCTTACAATTAGCATCTTTACCTTACATTGTGTGTTAAATAACAACAAAATATACTCACTCTCGGTGTGAACTAGAATAGTTTTCGTATCCGAGCCGTTAAAATTACTTGCTCTGCAGGTGTAATTTCCTGATTTCGAATGCCATCTCGGTGTATAAGTTACACTTGTGCTATTTTGTAAAACTTCTCCATTTTTCGACCACGTGATTCTAGGAGCAGGTGCACCGCCCGCTTGGCAGAGCAAGCTTTGAGAACAATGCTCTAGCAAAGCCACCGTTTCCTCAGCCACTCCAAAGCTAGGAGAATCTGTTAAAAGACAGATGAAATAATCAATTGACGCCTCCTTTGAAAGCTTTTATCCCAAGGTTCACTGTCGTTTAACCAAATTGTACAAGAGATAGTGAAACTCTAAATAAACCAAACATACACTAACCTCCAGTTTTTAAAGGTTTTGCCTTAAAGCTGGCTTCAAACCCCGCACCTTCACTAGTTCCCAATGTTCCATATCTCTCCACAATCATTTTGTTGCCACTAGACGTTATGCGGTGAGATGAAGTGCTTGCTTCACAAAGAATCCTGAGGACATTGTCTGACAAAGAATGCCCGTCTCTGACCATAATGTATGTCTCGAACAAACACGCCCATGGTCGAAGATTTATATTCTTGATAGTCATCTCGACATAGTTTCCTTCCGGAACGGTGATTTTCCACTGCTTATATTTAACACAAATGATAAATAAACTTGTTGGTGAGGTTTTGGGTGTGGTTATAGGTGTGGTAAAGGGTGTGCTTAAAGGTGTGCTCCAAGGTGTGCTTGAAGGTGTGCTTGAAGGTGTGCTTGGAGGTGTGGTTATGGGTGTAGCTGTGGAATCAGCTCTGGTAAACTGCGTTGGCGCTGTAGCTGGTGTTCTAATCGTAAATGGTTCGTCAGATGGTGACATGGTAGTTTTATCTTCGAAATTGCCTTCTTTCTCCCCATCAAAGGATATATAACAGGAGGCTGGTGCAAATGGACGTCTATACCAAGTGACACACTGAGGAGAATACGTCGGAAACGACTCTGACGGCTCAGTCTCTTTCGTTGACGGGAGGGTAGCCGTCAAAACTATGAACAAGAGTTATTATTATTTAAAGAATTTCTGAGCTTCATATCTGTTTCTGTCTAAATAATTAATGATGTGGCATTAGTGAGTCACCATACTTTTTACGAATATTGAACGACTTTAAATAGACCGCTAAAGTGCATATATGTCTTGATTTTTGCTGAATCGGGCAGCTGTTACGGCTCACGATACCATCTGCTTCTACCTTAGCTGCGTGGGGCCGGTGTTAGAGTATTGCATGCCCTTACATTATCATGCATTGACAAAAACCTTGAGTGTGTTAAAAAACGGGCGATTTGAACTGCAGAAAGTCTTAAGACCACTGCCTTTTTAGAGATCATAATACAGTTGACAAGGATGTCAAGTTGTTAACAAAAAATTTATAGCTGGTTTACGTTAGGAGCACTATATGGTTTTTGTTTCAGTTAATGACTTCGTGAACAGGGTTTGTCAAGAGAGAGAAAGACGTTTTATAATGTAAATTTTCACGACGGAAGTTGCAGTTTTCGAGCTTTTAATTTAGCAAACAAAACTGATATTGTCGAGCTCCTCACAGACGAAATTTAAAACCATTGTTGTGTAAATATTGTAAAGAGAAAGTGGATCAATATCAGTATCTGGACAACAGCCCACCTACCCTCCCCTAACCCAACATTAACCCCAACTTGTTATCAATTGACTCTTGTTCAGTTAGGGGAGGGGTAGGTGGGCAAGAAAAGAAAAGAAAAGGTCCAAAAATCTTGGCTCGAGGTAACACGAGGTATACTCGGTATAGCAAAGAGCTGATACGAGACTTCTGAACAGCTTGAAAAATTAAAATGAAATAAATGTTTGGCACAAATCGATGAAAAATCCTACTTTAACACTGTGACTAATAGGATTGGCAAAGGAAAAGCTAAAAATTAAAAAAGGAATAGCATCAGTTGCCATGAGATGTCTTCCAAATGTAATGAGGGTTATTGAATTATGGTTGAAATTGTGAGAAAATCAACGAAAGAAAATCGTGGCATCAAGCACTATGCATTTACAGTTATTATTATTATTTGTCAGCAAAATGTGATTTTTTTTGGCGCCTTGTCTCTAAGAAAGGGTGCGCTTAAAAAAAATATTTCGCGTTAGACTATTATGATTTGAAAAACATAACAAAAACTGTACCTTTGTTCCAGATGAGTTGAAGAAACAGCCATAGGAGACATCCATCCATTGCTTTCATTTTCAATCAGCAGTTCCGAGTTGAACTAGGGGGAAGACATAAATTAATGGGTCATTTCTCCAACACTTTTTTAAACTAGAAGGTCATGAAATTAATACTAACATCACTGGTCATATTGATGCATTCATCCCTCGGAGACAATTTACTTTAAAACCAATCTCGCCCCTTCTCCTTGACTTAATTTGCAGTAGAAGATGTTTATTTTACCTTCAAAGACTTTCCTTTTATTTAACTAAGAATCGCAGAAGGTATTACATGATTTGCACTTTGAGAACCAATGTACGTGCAGTTACCCATAGCATCCACTTCTGATACCGAATGTGTCTAAATTATCAAAGCAGTCACTTAAATGCATGGTTGATGATATTGACGTTCTGCTGTGACCCTTCATAAAGAGCCAGATGCTTGCACATTTTTGCTGTTTACAAGCTTTCTGTAAATTGCTCCTCTCCCCTATGCGCTAAATAGAGCTCAAGCTTGACGTTTTTTCTAAGTCTGTAAAGGAAAACGAGATTAATTTCAAAACACCGAGAGACCACCTTAGATCATCTTCAAAAAATAACTATTGGTTTGCGTAAAAACGAATTATTCATTTGCAGCCCACACAAGAATATCAAAATGAATTTTCGTCGAAGATCTTGGTTAGTATGCAAGGGCATGAAATCTCGTTTACTCGAAGAATCTTGAGATACATAACTCTTTTATGTGCCATACCCCTGATAAAAACCTCGTGCAATTTTTGAAAACGTTTCAATAAGAACTGCGCTAAGCCGAAGCGGACCAATAGATAATAACTAAACTTGTACAAGCAAGCATCAGAATTTTAGCACACTGAATGTACACCAAGATAACTTACCTCGCATAGAACCGACAAAATGATAATCAGTAATGAGCCACGGCTCTTCTACCGCCAGAAAAAAAACTTAGAAGGACATTTTTCATTACAAACAGTTGTCAGTTAATAAAGATAAAGGAATTCTCTGTTCTTTCCTGAGAGTTTCATCCAGTAATCATTAGATAGGTCAAGTCAAAAACACTGTTGTAAACTTGTTTTCACAGTACTGGTTTTACGGTGGCCTCGATTAATTTACTTTATAAATACAACGTGTGTGGTTTGGACGTAAGTTAAATAAAGCACTGTAAAAATTTTAATTGGAACAGTTTTTTGCCCAATAGGATGAACATTAAAACTTCATTTATTCTAACAGGCGGTTTTTTTTTCTATGTTTAAGTTCTTTTGAACAATTTAAATTATGCTGATCGTATCATTCTCACATTTTTGCGCGTTCTGCAGAGGATCTGACACTGAAATGAAAATCATGAGCTTTTCGATGCAAAGTATTTTGGGTATTAGTTCATTTCTAGTTACGCAAATACACCTGCTGCTTCCGAAAAAAATTGACATCATGAGCTTTTTAATGCAAGGTATTTTGGGATAAGTTCATTTTTAGTTACGAAAATACACTTACTGCTTCTATCGCTGAGATGAAAAATATCTTCCTCCCCATGCACCCTCTTTTTCTTGAGAAAAGCAGGTAATACCAAATTTTGGAAAAGTACATCATATTCCTCGGGAAATTAAATCGTACAATCATTTTTAATTCTGGTTTCTCTCAGAGCACGATCATAATTCAGCAAAACTTTAATTACATTTTAAAGTAATGACTTTTCAATTTAAGCTTCTAGCGTGTTTTCCTCGCTATTAGCACAGTCTTTTCATTTTGCCATGTTTTTATGACATTTCGGTTCTCAAATCAGACCGGATCAGACCGTTTGACTTCACACTGCAATGTGAAAATTATTTCTTTTGTGCTGTTAAGTTATATTTGCATAAGTGTTGAGAACAAAAGAGGTAACTTATAGCATAGAAACAACTCTGTTTTAAAATTTTGCTCTTTTCAGGCGAAGGTTTTCTGTAACTCTGGACCTGAGTCTGTGTAAAATCCATGTTAAAAAATATTGGTAAAATAAGACTTAAATTTAAAAAAAGGGGTTTCCTTTGATGCTTGACAAATAAATTGTAACCATTCCCACCAAGCTCATCCTTGTTGATGCGTGGACGTGACATAAAACTTGAGTCGTGAACTTCAGTCGAGAACTGCTGGGACTGAAGTCCCGATTGAAATAACTAAAATATAACGAAGTCAACCACCGGGCTTTGATTTGTTTCCTTTGTTTTTTATGCCTATAGAATTTAGTTTTGATGTCTGTGACTTGTTCTGTAGGATGAATTTTGTTGATGCGACACTTAAAAATAGCGAAACATTTAACGAGTAGGTATTTAAATTAACGGTTGCACAATAATTAGAACTAAAAGAATTCAGAATAAATGGGTTGATGGCTGTGCTGATAAATGGAAATATATCATATGACAAACCAGCAAATAAAAGACATTTGTCATCCGAAAAAATTGTTGGATATGACGATTTTAGAACTAAATAAATGTGAAGAGGCGTCCAGCACATGAAAAATCCTGAAGTCACCGATCGAAAGATTTTCAAAATGTTCTGGTTTTCTTTGGATCTCCGTGCATGTGTGTTGCCTTCATTACTGCTGATTTGAAACACAGCTCGCCTCTTTGGATGCTTAAAACTAATAGAATGAACAACTAATATTACAACCAGCGGTGCAAGATAGAATAAGATGAAACTTACGAAATGATACACTTTAAAAAGTAACGTGCTCATTAAGTTTCGACAAAATGTACGTCTCCCCTCGAGTTCGATTACTATTTAGAATGGTTAAAGTATGGTATGGCACATAACACAGGAAAAAGCCAGCTTAAAAAAGGAGAATTTTCCGAACCCTGGCAGTGATCTTAATGGCCTCAAGTTAGTGGAAACACAATCGTAGTGAATCTATCCACAGATATTAACACCAAGCTCTCAATCGACACCACGTACAATACAGCTCGAGAATAAATCCCTAACTTGCAGAAAAAGGTAGCGATTGCTTGATTAGTAATTAAGCTTCCTCTACGCTTTAACATCCCTTCTGTGGCATAGAGCGGTCAATTGAGACTATGTCTCCCTCTTTCTAAATGTTCTGAGAGTTATAAAACGAATTTTAGGAACTTGTGACGTTTTTGATCATCACAAAGCAAACTAAAACTATCTGCAAATTCTCCTCGTTTTGCATTCGATTTTAATTCTGTGTAAGTAATTTGCAGTTTCGCTCGTTAAGAGTGAATATATGTTTGTACACGTTATTTTTTTTGCATATTTGTTTCACTTGATCTACCAAACAGCCGCTTTTTCAGCCGCTTGCCACGAATAGTTCTGGATCTCAAGAATTTTCGGACTGGTAATCACTTTGTTTTCAAATTACATTCACTTTTCGTCATTTTTATTGTTGATCGCGTCGCCTGAACTGGGGGTTTGGAAATGCATTAAATTGATATTTCAGTACCTCTGACCACTATAGAAATTGACAGCCCAGCAACTGCCAAAGAGGGTAAAAAGTAAATTTTATCGTGACACATACAAAATTCTCCAACCCCCTCCCCCCCGGTGATAAATAATTTTGTTTTTCGTGTATAATATTTATACTACGCCGCAAAACTACTTTTACAAGCACACTTGCCTTTGAGGAGGTCAATATTGAACTGATAAAAGAAAATAGTTCATATTTTGGCATTTTGCGAAAGAAATACTAAGAATTAGGCTCTATCTGATGCTAGGTTGTCTTATGCCGTCTGGATCAAGTAATAAACCACAAACATATGTTACGGTGATCTTCTAAAATGAACGATACTGAGATTAATACACATTAATCTGTCTTGCTTAGTAGTAATTCAGTGATTTATGAATACTACTATAATTTGTTTAGAGAGTGTCCATGAAAAAACCAGGCGGAACCTGCCAGAGTGTGATAATGCACCAATAATGAGGCTAGTTGCCTAAAAGTTTTTTTTTCTGTTTTTGGAAGTTAAGAAATGGTTTCCACTACTCATGTAGAAATGATGACCAGAAGTTGATGCTCAGCGGAAATAATGGGCGTTATATTAAGGGGAAGTAGCTAGGGAAAGAAATACAATTGACAATTTTCATCAGTTAACTGCGCTTGAAGTCTGGAAGATATAGAACGTAACCTGGTGTATTTAGATGGCTTCCTTGTTTGTTACAAGAGCAAAGCAAATTTAGTTAAATGGTTATTCAAAAAATGCAGAAAGTGGAGGTATTCTAGGGGACCCCATATCTCCCAGGAAATTAGATTTATTTCGGCGTTTAAAAATTACCCAGTTCCTAACTCAATATACCAAACATTTTTGCCACATTTGAGCCAAATCAGGGTTTTTGAATCATTACCACTGCCCGGTTTTCTCGTAGCCACTTTCAAAATTACTTACCCTATGAAAGTTTCAGAAAAATTTCTGAAAAAGTCCAACAAATAAAAAAATTACTTATGAGTGCTGAGCACTCAGCTAACTAACAAAGAAGTTTCATATGGTTTAAGACAGCAGGAAAATGGAACACTGCCATTTTCGATTAAGTATGCTTCTTAAAAAAGGGATGTACAAGGCTTCATCGTTCAACATCAGCCCACATAAATATCTCCACGTTTCTGTATTAACTGTCGCCAAAGGGGGTCAGTTGTTGCTGGGAGGATAGCTGGATGTGACGTCCAAAGAGATACTGTTGTAACACGCGGTGTCGAGTTGTGTTCCGTCTCCATCTACCTCAATGAAGTGTGCATATGTTAAAAGTTAACTCATAGAAATACTATCGAATAACTACGAGAAAAATGAAATAAAACGAAAGATCTATTTATTAAACTTTCCCTGCGTTTGTAATAGATAACACAACCCTGGTGGTGCTCTTTGATTTGACTGTTTTTAAAAACGAAAGGTTGCACCTGCATTGCTATGAAAATCACCGAAAAATTTTTTTCTCCAAATAACGTTTGCCACAAGTCAAGAGGCATGTCAGTACTATATAGACGCAAACAAAGACGGTAACTAGGTCACCAGCTAAAACAAACAGCTCGTTTAATCATTGCCAGGGGACAAAGCCACAGAATAAGTAAGAGACGAATACTCTCATTCTACTTCAAATTCAAAATTATCCAATAACTAGAACCATTATCGTCTTGGAACAAGCGGTATAATCTTCAAAAAATGTTTTAACTTTCCCTTACCAGATATAGCAATTCCATCAGATCTTTTCTTGCAGCTGAACCATTTGCAGCGAGTCACAAGACAGTAAAACCAGCCTACAAGGACTGTCCTTACCTGAAAAGTTTTAAAACCTCTTAAAATTAGAAAGAAAATTGCTGATTTGGTAATTTCGACGTAGAGTTGATTAGAGATAATCATGCAAATTACATAAATCCAAGCAAACCAAAAAAAATGGCTACGAAGATGATGAGAAGAAGAGTAGCTACACGTAACCATCTTTAATGCGCATAGTTTTAGTTTAATATAATTGGCTCAGGAATTAAAAATTTTCTCAGCCCAGTGGAAAAAAAAATGCCTCTGAAAAGTGAAAAGTGGTAAATATCATCCTCACCTTTGGAGTCGAGAAAGTGTAGAGTACAGGATTCACAGAGGAATTTACCGGCAGGACAAATACTGCAAACCATACATACGCCACACCTTGTTCATCGTGAAATTTGCCCGTTAGAGCAAGAATACTCAGAATTATTACAGGAATCCAGCAGCTAAAGTCTGTTAAGATGATAGCAAAAACCCTCCTTGCCAACGTGGACTCTCTTTTGATGCTGTTCAAGCTCACTTCAGCTTCACCGTGAGCCTTGACTCTTCTCTGTGACTTGGACACTTTCACGATAATAGATATGTACGCCAACATGATGAAGAGGAAAGCTGCGAGATTCAAACCAATAAAAAGGCCAACAGAATATTCCCAGCCTGCCAGTCTTTCTGAAGACAAATGAAGAGGTAGACATACCGAGGAACGACCTTGGAAAGGGAGGGACATCCTTTAGAGTGAACACTAACTCCTTTTATCGTATACTTTAGCCCCAGAATTTAACACAGTTTTCCATTATTATTTATACATAGCCAGTAATTAAGGGGGAAGGGAGAAAAGGAAAGGCAACAAGTAAGGTACCTTTGTCCATGAAGTAAATATTGTTTACTTTGGGGATGTGGCTATATAAGGATATAGGATGATGTGGTTTGTTCAGGCACAGAAGGTGCGGTAAGCCACCATTATTTTGACAACAGATCTTTTCTATCAACTGAAGGAAGCCCCTCAAGACAGAAGTTGTTTCGCCCTTACATAGCTTCATTGACATGATATTACAGACACGCAAACGCTCTTGTTTCACACAGGGAGATGTAGTGTAGAAGTTACGTAAGCTTATGGAATGCCCCATAGTTTCACAGTCAATGAAATGATAACTGCAAGGTAACTAAGAGCAGAACAATTTTTACCATAGAACCCATATCTTCTTTCCTCATTGAAAAAGTACGGAGTATCAAAAGCTGGTACAACAGCAATTGCAGTTCCGCAGAGCCACACCACGGCACAAATAATGTAAGTTCCTCTTAATGTCAGACGTGAGCATCTGAAGGCAAAAACGATGCTCAGCAGACGGTCAGCGGTTATCACCGTGAGCATGAGTACCGAGACCTCACTTGAGAGTACCGATAGGGCGCCGGCCACTTTACAGAGGACTCCTGACCGCCATATCAGATCGAAGCTGAAGTAAGTACCTAAAATGAAAGGATATATGTGCTTATTTTCGTTTGACTTACAAAATTAAAGTAAAGGTTGAAAAGTTTAATTTAAAATGTACGAATGAAATCCTTAAAGTGTTTGATGAACTAGTCAGCGGGAGAATTCCTAACATTAACTTTGGCAATTATTACCGAGATTTGGAGATTTTCGTCCCACAGTTAAACAACTGTAGACAAACTGGTTTTCGCTGATTATTTTCAAAAGCGCGTGATTTAAAAAGCATCTTCCATGTCTTTAATTTAGAGGTGCTATTGAAGCTATATTACATCATCGCTGCTATTTTCAAGTCTTTAGAAAAATGCACTACTTTTAAAACATGTAGGTTGTGATTCTAAAACACAATTTGTGACTGTTCGAAAATATTTTCAGGCTTTTCTTCGGTGTTCTTTATTTTTACTTACAGCACACTTGTGAGGTCCATTTGTCTACCTCTCTTCCATCTGCACTTCAAAAAGGCTGCATGATATGTACATGATATTAATTACCTGCCCATATCTCGTTTTTAATAGCTATTATCATGAGATACACCCCCATAAGGAAATCAGCCACAGCCAGATTGGTCAGAAGGCAGGTTTGAACTGGATGGTCGTCACGCCTGATGACACGCCATGCTATCACTGCCAGATTACCAGCAACAGCTAGGATACCCAGTAACCAGATACTTCTTCTAGGACCAGAGGCATCGATCATGCGATTGCAACTCGACAAGGCGTTACCCTCCAGCTTTGGATACTCACAGCTTACATTCTCAGAGTACTGAGAAGCGTAACAACACAGGGAGAAACTGTCCACTCTCCTTGAAAGAGATGAAATACCACGCATTTTTTCATAAAAAAAATAACCAAAGCATCAAAACTCTTATGGTTTTTAACGTCGCGCAAGTCATTAAAGTACATGTAATTCTTCGTCAAAAACTAACCAGGTCTAAGCCTATAACCTGGTTGCCACTGATTAAGCAAAGTCACCATTCTTATGGTTTCAAATGATTTAATTTGATTGTCCAATGTGCGCAAAGCTGTTGATGAGCAAAGAATCCGAAATTAAATTGAAAAATTTAAGAGAAGTGTTGATTGCTCTAATTGCATAAAAGGAAATCAACTAAAATTTATTCCGTACTTACAAGTTTCGTAGACTTTTAAGATAGCTGAACGTTTTTGGAGGCATACGATAGATAAAATTGTTTTGTAGATGTCTAGGAGTAAAATTTATTGAAAACGTTTAGGGATCAATCTTTTGAATGGTCTGTTTTGTCCTTCTATGCATTTTTTGGATCTCAGTTCAATTTTGATGGCAAATTTCGCTATTGCGTAGCCATCACGGGTATGTGTTTATTGTCATGCGGTCTTAGTCAACAGGAGATTTGCTTCTCAGCCTTTTTGATTTGTTTGTCATAGAAGGAAAAAATAAATTTGTTCATCTTAAATCTTTGTAGTTGTCTTTTGTAAGAAGAACTACCTCGGTTAAATATCTCTTTAACGGAATTTCTTATGTTTTCTTTACCAAATTGGCACGTGTTGTATTCTAATGACTTAGAAAATCAAGCATAACACTGATCTCTTTTTATGATAACCTATTTCGTTTTGTATGCGTTGCATTGTTTGGCATAACTGCGATCAAGACTCGAGAACCAACAATCTATTTGGTTTATCGTGTAATACTCACAAGGTTTTAAGGTTATTAAGCCCAGAAAAGGCACCCATTTGGATTGTTTTAATCTTGTTGTTTTCCAGATACCTTTAAAAAAATTTCAAAGCTTGTAGGAGAATTAAAACACAAGTTAATCATATTTTGATGGTGAAAACATAGATAAATGTAAGTTCTTTTTTCACATGTAAATATCAACACTCACAGAGTTTTCAAACGATTCAATTTGCTGAAGACCTTGGAAGGTATCTCGACCATTTCGTTGTGAGAAAGAACACTGCGAGAAAAAAAAAGATAACTGATACTCATCAAAAACATGTCTTACAATCAAACAAAACCGTACGACAATAGTAAAAACAATGATGATAATGACAACGATAGTTATAATGATAATGACAATAACAATGATAATGATAATGATAATGTTAACTTTTGATCATGTTGTCTAATCTTCTGCAAAAAATTTTTCCTGAAAAGTCATATCATTGTTACTATTATCAGGATGTCGAAACATCAGTCACCACTAACACAATTTGTTCTTTTCTGGAGTAGTGCTCTCACACAGATGATTCGAACACACGCTCAAGTGTTACTTTTGGTTTCAAACCAATTACTGTAATAATAAAAAAATTAATAACAGTAATAATGATGAAATTAGTTATAATAATAATCATAATAATGATGATGAAAATAAAGATAATGATAATGTCCATTAAGTCCGCGCAATTAAAAATCTACAAGGCTAAAATATTTATTAAGAACAAACTGGGCGCTTTCGACGCTAGACATCATCAGGGTGAATTAAAAAAAAGTGATAATAGTAACAAAGCATAAAAAGGCGAGGAGGTCAATATCTCTTTGGGGGAATCGACATATTGAGCACCTCTGCGCTTTTTACTGACGATGAGATTACTTTGATAAATGATAGATTAAAAAACATATCATTTGCTAAAAATCACTGCGGCAGAGGTCAAACCATTGAGCTATTTACACATCACAGCGAGGGAATCGAAATCTGTAGGACCGCGACAAATCCAATTCAGTGGCAACACGATGGACTCGAACCTAGAAATCCAGATTTGAATTTAAAGCCCTGAACCATTCGGCCGTAGTGTCGATCTTCAATAGAACCTGAAAACAGACTTAGTGAAGACGTTTTTCAATTTATCTTGGCCAGTTCGAAGCTAATGTTCCATAGAACAGCAATTTTATTAAAATACTTACATAAACAAGCAAACACCTTCCCTTTCAGGGATTATAATGACTGATAGTTTAGTTAAAAACTGTTTTCGGTGATATGATATACTACATCTTTGGGGTATTTTTGTTGCTGAGCTGTAACCAGAATTTTGGGACATAAAAATTAAAAAAAAAATTTCCTAACGTCAACCATTAGGACCACTTACAGCATTTCTAAGCTTGGCAACTTGTTGAAGATGGGTCGAGACAGGTTGGAGATTTTGTTGTAGGAGATATCTCTAAAAAGGAGAACAATCTCATTGAAAATAATTTCTTTGTTTAAGAGCTTTTTCCTCGTTGTTTGTTAAATGCCAAACCTTATAACTGAACTATAAACTGAATCATGCTCAAGAAATATGACATTTTTTGCCGAAACCCTTTCAAGTCTTGTTTACTTAATTTCTGTTCAAAATTATCAACATGCGAGGTATTATCGTATAAATATCATATAAAACCAAATCTTTCAAATAAGCATCCTATCATTATGGCTAGTACTACCAGGGAGCAGCTCTAACAAGTCAGTCTATTATAAAAGAACTACCTGCTGTTGGAGTTTACCATGGCAAGCTTACTCCCTATAGGAAGGGAAAGGAAACCTTCCATATGACCATTTTATCACTGTTAAAAGCAACATGCTTTCCGATCATAATTAGGGTGGCTAGAATATTTAAAAATTTTCACAAACGTACATGAAACCTTATAAAAGTTATTCAGTAACTCATAGCAATATAGCCTTTTGCTTCAGCTCTTTCATGATCATAAATCCATTATTTAATACAAATTGCACTGTAGGATTATTTTTGAGCGGTCAAATGCTCATATCTACTCCTGATGAGTTATTTCAATTATTATGGCGGCTCTGCATCTAACGAATACTTCGCTTCAGACGCCTGTAATGCATATTGACGCCTCTATTGCATATGGCGTATGTAAAATAGTCAAACTGGTAATTTAATTTTACAAATATCAAGATGGTGGGTTTTTGTTTAGGTTAAATTCTTAGCTTTTGGGGTCCGCTCGCGCGCGGGAACTCTTGCTCGTCAGCTGAATTTTGAGCTGTTCGTTGGTTCAATTTTGATGGCTAGTCTTGTATAGCAAGTTTCGCTCATGCCCAGCCATACCAGGTAAGTGTTTATAATCATGCGGTCAACAGAAGATTTCCATCGGAGCCTTTTTAATTTTTTGTCATAAAAGGAGACAATAAATTTGTTCATTTTATGTCTTTCTAGTTTTCTTTTGTAAGAAGAACTACCTCGGTTAAATATCTCTTTAACGGAATTTCTTATGTTTTCTTTACCAAACTGGCACGTGTTGTATTCTAATGACTTAGAAAATCAAGTGTAACACTGATTTTTTATCTCTTTTTTTTTTTTTTTGATAATATATTTCGTTTTGTATGCGTTGCATTGTCTGGCATAACTGCGATCAAGACTCGAGAACCAACAATCTATTTGGTTTATCGTGTAATACTCACAAGGTTTTAAGGTTATTAAGCCCAGAAAAGGCACGCGATGAGATTTTTTCAATCTTGTTGTTTTCCAGATACCTTTAAAAAAAAGTCAAAGCTTATAAGAGAATTAAAACACAAGTTAACCATATTTTGATAGTGAAAACAGAGATAAAGGTAAGTTTTTTTTCCCATGTAAAAATCAACACTCACAGAGTTTTCAAACGATTCAATTTGCTGAAGATCTTGGCAGGTATTTCGACCATTACGTTGTGAGACAGAACACTGCGAGAAAAAAAAAAGATAACTGATACTTATCAAAGACATGTCTTACAATCAAACAAAACCGTACGACAATAGTAAAAACAATAATGATAATGACAACCATAGTTATAATGATAATGACAATAACAATGATAAGGATAATGATAATATTAACTTTTGATAAAGTTGTCTAATCGTCTGTGAAAAAATTTTCCAGAAAAGTATTATCATTGGTATTATTATCAGGATGTCGAAACATTAGTCACCACTAACACTATTTGTTCTTTTCTGGAGTAGTACTCTCACACAAATGATCCGAACACACGCTCAAGTGTTACTTTTAGTTTTAAACCAATTACTGTTATAGGAGGCGGAGGTCAAACCATTGTGCTATTTACACATCACAGCGAGGGAATCGAAATCTGTAGGACCGAGAAAAATCCAATTCAGTGGTAACACGAAGGACTCGAACTTAGAAATCCAGATTTGAATTCAAAGCCCTGAACCATTCGGCCGTAGTGTCGATCTTCTTCGTGAAGAGGTTTGAAAAAGACGCTTTTACCAGCTATTTCTCCCAGAAAATGGGTAAGAATAAGTTTTTCAACTGATCTTGGCCAGTTCGAAGCTAAGGTTCCACAGAAAAGTAATGTTATTGAAAGATTTACAAAGACAAGCAAACGCCGTCCCCTTTCAGGGATTATAATGGTTGATAGTTAAGTTAAAAACTGTGTTTTCGTGACGTGATAAACTATATCTTTAAAATATTTTTGTTGCTGAGTTACAACTAAAATTTTGGGAGATGAAAATAGAAACAAAAATTTTTTAACGTCAACCATTAGAGCCCACTTACAGCGTTTCTAGGCTTTGCAACTTGTGGAAGATTGGTTTAGACAGCCTGGAGATTTTGTTGTAGGAGATATCTCTGAAAAGAAGAAACAATCTAATTGAAAATATTTTCTTTGTTTAGGAACTTTTTCCTCGTTGTTTGTTAAATGCAAAACCCTATAACTGAACAGTAATCTGAATCAAGCTCAAGAAATATGAAATTTTTTGCCAAGACCCTATCAAGTCTTGTTTACTTAATTTCTGTTCAAAATTATCAACATGCGAGGTATTATCGCATAAATATCATATAAAACCAAATTGTTCAATTAAGCATCCTATCAGTATGACTAGTACTACAAGGGAGCAGCTCTAACAAGTCAATCTATTATAAACGAACTACCTGCTGTTGGAGTTTACTATGACTAGATTAATAATTCCTGTAGGAAGGAGGAAGGAAACCTTCCATATGACCAAAAGCGTGGAATATTTAAACATTTTCACAACGTACATGAAACCTTATAAACGTTATTCAGTCACCCGTAACAATAAAGCCTCTTGCTTCAAAATGCACTGCAGGATTATTTTAATCAGTCAAATGCTCATACCTACTCCTGATGAGTTGTTTCAATTATTATGGCGGCTTCTTATCGCTTGCTTTTAACGCACACTTTCGCTATTCATCAAAACGCCTCTATTGCATATTACATATGTAAAATGGTCAAACTGGTAATTTAATTTCACAAATATCAAGATGGTGGGTTTTTGTTTAGGCTAAATTCTTAGCTTTTGGGGTCCGCTCGCGCGCGGGAGCTCTTTTCCGTTTGCGGAGCCTCTCGCCTCGACATGCCTCACGAGAACTCAGAAATGGGCTACTATACTATAACAATTGTAATGCGGTGTATTTTGCTCCGCTAGTGCGACCTGATAACAGGGATATTTGGTAGAGGGTACTTACAGAACTCGCAGCTTTGACAGGTCTTGAAACATATTCGGTGGAAGATTGACTAACACATTTATGGAAAGATAGCTATGAAAAAATATAGGTATTACTAGTTATCAAGCTCTGAGTTACCCTTATTTTTACATTGTTTATATTCTAGTAAATAAAATCTGACGTTATTTCACAATATTCTGGAAAATAACTCAAAAACTGCTTGCGCTTTGTTTAGGTAGTCCCATGATTGCGAGAGAAGTTTGGAATAAATAAACACGAGTAAATTCAAAGACGTAAAAAATTTCAAAGACTAAAAAAATTGCACTATCCCTTAGGGCGAGTGTAATTTGTGGTCTTTGAAAAAATTTACAAGAGCTTATTTATTCCAAATTGCTCGAGAAAAATCATGTGATTACGTTTTAATCATATAAATGAAAAAATTCGAGATCATATCATAATTATGCAGAAGCAAAGCGCGCGCATCAAGTGCAAAAATAACTTATTCAAACCCTTCAAGTGACATTGTGCGTTCGATCAAAACAACCGCGCACGATCAAAGCAATAATAAACAATGATATTTTCATGTCTTTAAGGCACAAAAAAGTTCAAAGTCCGGTTAAACACTTCTGCATTGAATTACTCGAAAACTGCATTTATCTTGACCAATCAAAACTGAGTAATTTTTTCATGTATCTTACTAGATCGGCAAACATTGCATCTTTAATTGTGGCGGCAAAGCAATGGACATGTTACAAAAGCAATATCATGTAACTCAATTTCCATCGGTTCACTGGTGTAATTTAATGTAGGCGGTGAGACAGTCGATGGAGCATTTTATGAGTCAACCGCTAGTAGCTCGTGTTTTACGAACACCCATCGTAAGTTGATAGCCCAGAAATCGATAACAAGTGTTTTCTATTGTTTTAGACAGTTGCGAAAAAGTACTACAAGTAATCACCACTACAATAGTATTTAACCTTCGAAACTAAAGCGAGAGTATGTCACTGAGGACATAGAAATACAGCACAAAAGACGCTGCTAGCTAGCTACAACATGCCGACAAACTTAGCAAAAGTAAAAAATTACGTGCATTTGAATTCCAAACACTCGGCACAAATTGAATACTCACAGTTCCTCTAGGGAGAAGAATTTCTCAAACGTGCCCTCCACTATCCCACTGATCCAATTCATTCTTAGGTCCCTAGCAAAAAAAGAACACCAAAACAAACTTAATCACGTGCATGCTTCTCGCCTACACTATTCAAGCTGTAATGAAATAAAGTCATGTTTATTAGTGAGTTTAAAAGCACTTTTCAGCGGTCTCACGAACACACTTCTTTTGTTTGATAATAACATAATTGGAAAAATTACACGCTTCTGATTGGCTGAAAACGAGTGCATTCTCATGTAGCAAGAGTGCAAAGTTGTGACACGAGAAAACATTACAAGTAGTGCGCATGGTTTCCAAATTTCGTCTGTCTTGCCTTTCTGTGATGTTTTTTCATTTAAATTAATTTTTTCATTTAAAGAACGTGATTTCTCTTGCAATTTGGTATGGTAGGCACTTGAAAATTTTTTAAAGGCTCGGGCTCGTGCGATTTGTTTTTTAACTCGTGCTTATTAACACCAAAGTGCACTCGAAATCATGTTATTACCTATACTAACAAAAGTGCAAATTTGCAACACGGGTGTAAATTACAAATAACGCACGCGCTGTCAAAATTTATGTCAGTTTTGACTGTCTGTGATTCTTTTCTTTCGTAAATTATCGATAAGTAATAACATGATTTCTCGTCCCAATATGAACATGAAAGGATGCTTGATTATTATTGATCATGATCATGATATAGGCCAGCTACTTACGTAAATTTTGTAAAGTATCTTGTACCTTGCAACAGAAGGTGAATCCTGTGTTCTGATTGGCTACCCGATCGGGTGAGATAGCCCATCTTGCCTGCTCGGGATTTCCCGCTTTGATACCGCGCACGAAAAACATTTCGTAGAGTGGACTTACAAATTTCGTAATTTTTGGAAAGCATATGTTAGTGATGGAGTCGCAAAAGAAGCAGAAGACAATCATTTTTTATTTTTAACGAGAGGAAATTTTTTTGCTTAAGGTTAGGGTTAGATGATATGATAAATTTTTTTGTTGAGCAAGCATGTTTTTTTATTGAGAAAGCTTGTCAGCAAGGTTGCTTGCCTTTTCATGGACCTCGGCTTCGTCTTGGTCCATAAAAATGCCTGAAAAGAACTCGGCAAACTTGACCTGGCGCTTGGTCAATAACCCATATTACAATATCAATACTAATTTCTTAACTTATAATATGAATTTACAGATTTCAACCAAAAATCGTTGTTGTTGCAATAACCTTTTTAGTTCTTCTACTTACAAGTACTTGAGTTGCTTAAGTCCTCCGAACGCATTTCTCGTCAAATTCAATGGAAAAAGATTACGCGTAATCGATCTGTGACAATAGAAGGATAAACGCAGACTTAAAGATATCGTAATATTTACAATCATTAGTTGTTACAGCTATTTATATTGTTTATCCCTTTTTTACTGAGTAACTAAAATGTAAATAATTTAATTGATACCTTATTTGCATTCAATCAGGTAACACTTACAAGTACTGCAGGTAAGTTAAGTTTTCAAACGACTTTGGATAAATATGCCTCAAATAGGTACGAGTAAAAAACCTGGAATTAAAAGGAAAAAATGACGATTATGAAAAACGTGGAATCGAAAAACACTGTGAAATGACACTTGGCCTTCACATTTTGGAGTACACGTTGTGATATAACTAAAATAATTGTTTTAAACTTACAAATATTTTGTGGCGAGAGGAATGTCCCTCGGGACTGTTCCGGAACAGTTAACTCGAAACCAGAATGGATGTGATTTCAGTTTGTGACAGCTGCAAAAACGAGAGCATTCTGCGAAGGAAAAGCAAAAAGATGGTGAGAGCAATATTCCAGAGGTTAATGCAATCCGCTAGGTAATGTGACAGGGAGATATTACTCGCTTTAAGAAGGGTGTTTCATTTATCATATTAAACTGCGGTGTTGTAAAAAGATTTTTGGCCCTGAGAAAAGCCATAACAACGCGCGTGAAAAGATACGATAGTTTTCGCTTGTATTTGATATCGCCATTCAGCTGCTGACACGTCGGTTTTTCAGGAAATAAATTTGCTAGAGGGAGAAGAAAACCAAAATTCGAAAAGAAAAAACCGAAATTTACTCATTCAATGGGTTTGATAAGGACATTTTTTGCGGTTGAGAACGAAAATTGAAAACTGGAAGATTTGCCACAGGCCGATTTTGGCTGTTTACTTGAAAATACTTCTTCCTTTGGTAAGGAAAAATTTTATAACTGAGAATTTTTCTCTCGTGGGTTTGTATCAGAAATCTCACTTGTTCGCTGCGCTCATTCGATCGACTTCCGACACAACCAACTCGTACGAAAATATCATACCGAAATATTTTCCATAAAATGTCGTATATGTCCTTTAAGAAATTATATATTTGGTGGAACTGGTATTTTGGTTTCCTGGTGGCCGAGGAAGGCATTGCTAATCCACATATACAGATAGAATATACTTCTTCATGAAAACTCGCAATCACTATTTGCAGCACGATTTAATCTCAGGTATGTCTCTCTCATTACTTCCTTCACACATCCTATCAAAGTACTTGAAATGTTTTAATTTTGGGGTGTGTATGTGGGGGAGAGGGGTGGTGGAGGAGTTAATCTCATGTACTGACAAATTTTATTTTGTCTAGCGTACATTTAGCATCTTTTCGCACTGCTCGTTAAATAACAATAACATATACTCACTCTCGGTGTGAACTAGAATAGTTTTCGTATCCGAGCCGTTAAAATTACTTGCTCTGCAGGTGTAATTTCCTGATTTCGAATGCCATCTTGGTGTATAAATTACACTTGTGCTATTTTGTAAAACTCTTCCATTTTTAGACCATGTGATTCTGGGAGCAGGTGTACCGCCCGCTTGGCAGAGCAAGCTTTGAGAATAACACTCTAGCAAAGCCACAGTTTCCTCAGACACCCGAAAGCTAGGAGGATCTGTTGAAAAAAAGACAAGTGAAATAATCAATTCACGCCGCCTTTGAAACTTTCATCTCAAGGTACATTGTTGTTTAACTACATTGTATAAGTGACGATTAAACTCTAAATAAACCAAACATACACTAACCTCCAGTTTTTAAAGGTTTTGCCTTAAAGCTGGCCTCAAACCCCGTACTTTCACTAGATCCCAATTTTCCATATCTCTCCACACTCATTTTATTGCCACTAGACGCTAGGCGGTGAGGTGAAGAGCTTGCTTCACAAAGAATCCTGAGGACATTGCTGGACAAGGAATGCCCATCTCTGACAATGATATATGTCTCGAACAAACACGCCCATGGTCGAAGATTCATTTTCTTGATAGTCATCTCTATATAGTTTCCTGTCGGAACAGTGATTTTCCACTGCTTATATTCAACACAAGTGGTGGCTGAACCCATTGGTGAGGTTTTGGGTGTGGTTATAGGTGTGGTCGGCGCTGTAGCAGGTGTATTAATCGTAGATGGTTCGTCAAATGATGACATGGTAATTTGATCTTCGAAATTGCCTTCTTTCTCCCCATCAAAGGATATATAACAGGATCCGGAGGCTGGTGCAAATGTTTGTGTAGATAAAGTGGTACATTCAGTAGAATATGTCGGAAACGACTCTGAGGGCTCAGTCTCTTTCGTTGACGAGAGGGTAGCTATCAAAACTATGAACAAGAGAGACTTTTAGTTCTTATGGAGTCAGACCATTATTATTTCAGGAATTTCTGAGCTTCATGTCTGTTTCTGTCTAAATGATGAATGATGTGCCGTGAGTGAGTCACCATACCTTTTACGAACATTGAACGACTTTGAATAGACCACTGAGCGTATAAATGTCTTGATCTTGCTGAATCGGGCAGCTGTTACGGCTCACGATACCATCTGCTTCTACCTTACCTGTGTTAGGCCTGTGTTAGAGTATTGCACGCCCTTACATTATCATGCTTTGGCAAAAACCTAAAGTGTATTCAAAAACGGGCGATTTGGACCGCAGAAAGTCTTACTACCACTGCCTTTTAGATATCATGTGACAGCTGACTAGGATATCAAGTTGTAAACAAAAAATTGATTGCTAGTTCCTATTAGGAGTGCAGAATGGTTCTCGCTTTAGTTTATGACTTTTTGTACAAGATTTGTCAAGAGAGAGAAAGACATTTTATAATGTAAATTTTCACGACGGAAGCTGCAGTTTTCGAGTTTTTAATTTAGCAAACATAACTAATATTGTGATAAGAATACATGAAAGTCATATATTTGTACTGCGGAAAATACATTTTTCGCAGTATATACTCAACTTAAGCAGTTGAGAAATAATTTAGCAAACATAACTAATATTGTCGAACTCCTCACCGACGAAATTTAAAACCTTTGTTGTGCATTGTTAAGAAAAAGTTTATGCAAAAAAAAAAAGGTCTCAAAATCTTTTCGCTCCAGGTAACACGAGGTATACTCGGTGAAGCAAAGAGCAGATACGAGAGTTCTGAATAGCTTGAGAAATTAAATGAAGTAAAGGTCTGGCACAAATTGATGAAAAATCCTACTGTGACGCAGTAACTGATAGGCTTGACGAAGGAAAAGCTAAAAAAGTACAAACGGAATAGCATCACTTGCCATGAAATGTCTTCCAAATGTAACGAGGGTTATTGAATTATGGTTGAAATTATGAGAAAAACAACGAAAGCAAATCATAGCATCAAGCACTATGCACTCACAGTTATTATTATTTGTCAGCAAAATGTAATATTTTTTGGCGACTTGAGTTAAAGACAGGGTGTGCTTAAAAAATATTTCGCATTAGACTATTCATGATTTGAAAAACATAACAAGAATTGTACCTTTGTTCCAGATGAGAAGAAGCAGCCACGGGAGACATCCATCAATTGCTTTCATTTTCAATCAACAGTGCCAAGTTGAACTGGGTGGAAGACATAAAACAATGGGTTATTTCTCCAACACTTTTTTAAACTAGTTCCCCAACACTTTTTTAAACTAGAAGGTCAAAAAATTATACAGACATCACTGGTCATATTGATGCATTCATCTCTCGGAGACGATTTACTTAAAACCAATCTTTCCCCTTTTCCTTGACTTAATTTGCAGTAGAAGATGTTTATTTTACCTTCAAAGACTTTTCTTTTATTTAACTAAGAATCACAGAAGGTACGACATGATTTGCACTTCGAGAGCCAATGTACATGCAGTTACCCATAGCAACAACTTCTGATACCGAATGTGTTTAAATTATCAAAGCAGTCACTTAAATACATGGTTGATGATATTGACGTTCTGCTGTGACCCTTCATAAAGAGCCAGATGTTTGCACATTTTTGCTGTTTACAAGCTTTCCGTAAATTGTTCCTCTCCCCTACGCGCTAAACAGAGCTCAAGCTTGACGTTTTTTTTTGGTCTGTAAAGGAAAACAAGATTAATTTCAAAACACCGAGAGACCACCTTGGATCATCTTCAAAAATAACTATTTTTCCGTGGTTTGCGTACAAACGATTTATTCATTTGTAGTCCACACAGAAGAAAATCAAAATGAATTTGCGTCGAAGATCTTGATTAGTTGCAAGGGCATGAAATCTCGTTTACTTAAGGATCTAGAGATACAAAACTCTTAAAAAAATCAGATAAGGCCTTTTTATGTGCCATACCCCTAATAGAAAACCTCGTGCAATTTTTGAAAACGTTTCAACAAGAATTGCGCTAAGCCCAAGACTTGTACGTGTCTTGATTAACAGATCTGAAATTGTATTTAAACTTGAAAACAACCTCCAGCCTCCCATCTTCAACTTGGACTTCTTCAACTTGGAACTGATGACGATAAAATCTTATTGAGGGTACTCCGAAAAATAATCCAAATATCTGGTCCAGATGAAGCTAAAAAAATGCGACCAGTGTTATGTTATTTGATTAGCGAGAAGTACGTTCGATTACAGAAACACAATTTTACACATATAACTGCACCGACTGACCTGAAAAGCAACAACATCTTCTATCTTTTAAAAAACAAGTAATTTAAAGTTACCTTTAACGAGCTCTGTCACTTTTTAAAATTGAACGGAAGCAAACTTCCCTATATTAATTGTTGATGGCCACGGAAAATGCAAAAAAATTGTCTACTTCTGCAATTTAATTGACAGATGATCGGTATCGCTAAAAGCTGGATTACATACGACATTTTCAGTTACGAAAATTTTGGATCTCGTTCATAACTATCAAATGATGGTTTCCCCAAAATATCATTTCAACATTCAAGCCCCAGAAATAAGAATTTCTGCTATGAACAAATTATCAACCATTTTACCCTAACAGGGAAAAACATAGTTAAAACCGGGTCGATATACTCTGTTACTAAGACAACATCAAAACAAAATATCATGGGTGGCATCCCTGCTCGCCGTAAAGATACTATATTTTGGAGACAGGAGCTGTGCCGGAGTAATTTGTCAATAGGATCATGAGTATCGAACGTGAGTCTCCGTTCATTGAGAACGATTGTTTTCCATGACCATTTGTTTATGTTTGCAGAGGCGATTAAATAATGGAAGCCTAATTTAATCGCCCCGAGTAAGGAGTTTCAATATAATTTATCTTGCTTGCAAACTCTGGCCATTTTTTGGCTCGATATGCAATGAGGTGGCGAGCTAAAACAAAATAAGTCTGCACTATTCGTCGTTTTGAGCGCGATCACTCAGCAATCAGCTCGCTCCTCTTGCCAGTTTTTTTTTTATTTGTTTTAGTTCTTTTGAACAGTGTAAGACAATGCTGATCGTATCATTCTTACATTTTTGCGCGTCCTGCAGAGGACCTGGCACTGAATTTAAAATCATGAGCTTTTCGATGTAAGGTATTTTGGGTATTAGTTCATTTTTAGTTACGAAAATACACCTGCTGCTTCGTCCAATCATTTTTAATTAAGGTTTCTCTCAAGGCACGATCAAAATTCAGCAAACATTTACTTACATTTTTTTATTTATTTCCTTTTGTGTTGTTCAGTTACATTTACATAGCTGTCGAGAACAAAAGAGATAACTTATAACAGAGAAAACAACTCTGTTTTAAAATTTTGCCCTTTTCAGGCGAAGGTTTTATGTAACTCTGGACCTGAATCTTTGTAAAATCCATGTTAAAAACATTGGTAAGATAAGACTTTAATGTGAAAAAAACCGATGTCCTTTGATGCTTGAAACCCAAAGTGTAACCATTTCCACCAAGCTCACCCTTGATGATGTGCAGACGTGAGAAAAAAATTGAGTCGGGAATTTCAGTCGAGAACTGGAAAAAGTCCCGATTTAAATAACTGAAATAAAACGAAGTCAATCATCGGGCTTTGATTTGTTTCCTTTGTTCTGTATGTCAGCAGAATTTAGTCTTGAGACAATATATTTTTTCTTGAGTTGGACTTGTTTTTCTGTTATTGAAAAAAACATATCTTCTTTCACATTACATTTTTGGAAGAGCTTGCTCTTGCTTGGTAACCCTCATTTTGGTGTATTCGACCTAGTCTCCCTAATTTGATGTATTCGACCCAGTCTCCTCGCTCGTATCCAATAAAATGGGCTGTACACGCTTAAATCGGGTGTTTGTTATACAGAAAGATCCAATCCTTAATCAAACTCTGACAATTCCCTCGTTTAACATCCTTTGTCGATAGATTAACAACCACGTACGAAAAACGCAGACGGCAGAAGTTACTTCTGAATTGGTTACTTCTCTGAAATACAATTTCGTTTGCTTTTTTTCTAACCTTTAAAAAGATCCCCAACAGAAAGATCTCCTTTTGACCGTCAAAGCCAATACGACTCTCACAAACCACTGAAAAACATTCTCAAAAGATTCACCCCTGTTGTTTCCACAAGTGTGTCCTACTGATTCATATGATCGAAAGAGGAAGTTAAATGTTGAATAATAAGTGATAGTGGTAAGTAGGAAGTAAATAATAGATATTTGGGTTTGAAAACTTAGAAAAAATAAATAGACAAATTTCTCTTTTTACATCTCGCAAAACAGTGCTGATGTACCTGTTTGACTTAACAAACATTTCTTTAAGGAGAATGGTTTGTGTAGGGTGGGTTCCATAACTTCCCCGTTAGACAGGTCATGTGGTGCGCGCTGATATTGCTTTAAAAAATAGACGCAATATTTTCTTACCTGCAGTATTTAATTCTGTGTGTTTTTTAATGATTGATATAGTTCTGTTCAGCGATAACATTTCCGGCAGGTGTTTATTTACAGTACTAAATGGGTTCGCTCTTTGTTTTGATGTAATTGAAGGTTGGTTTTATATTCCTCTCACGTAGCTGTAAGTAGCGTCGAGGCTTTTCTTCGAGGATGGGAAGGGGAGGCTCTATAAGTGACCTGAGATAAAGCCAAAAATTAATAAGTGACGTGTGATCGAGTTTTACAGAAAGGCAAAGTACGTTGAGGTTCGAAGTTTTCCCTTTTAAATTCGTGACGCGTTATATGCTGTTTAAAGTACACATGAAAAGTTGAATTTTTCAAAAAAACTAATGCGTCTTGTTAAAGCAAGTTTGCATTAAATTTCGCATAGAAATTGTGTAGAAAGACAAAGGTTGTGAGTGATAAAAGCCGAGACTTATGCACGTGATTCCGAGATCTAAGTTGGAAAATCGAAACTGAGACTATTTATGTGCGAGAATAACTTCGCTCACAACATTAACTCTTACCTACTCTGGCAACTTTTGACCAAGAACATTAGTAATGACAAAAAGTCCTAGTCTTTAAGAGCTATGAAAGAAATGTCAGGTTTTGAAGCTCAGAACAAAGGCTAATAAGATTCCAAGATCGAAAGCGCATAATTTTTCAAAGTACTGCATTTGCATCTGTAGCTCCTGGCTATAAAGATAAATTCTTTGTCAAATTTCCTGTTTGTTGACTGATTATTTTTTATTAGTTTGCCACCCGTGCGCGATTGCAATTTACACAACAAAAGAAGTGATTCTCAAAAAAGGATGAATTCGTTCTAAAAATACGCAACTCTAAGGCAAAATTATTTTGTTTAAGGTTACGCTTCGTCCATAAAAGTTACTTTGGATTTAATTTTCATCCAGGCATAAACTCATAGGAACTTGCGTGAGATGTTTTGTTCAGGCTATGTATGTGTAAATTTGTTTTACTCCCCAAAATTTAAATTTCATGATCTCTTAGAAATGTTTCCACCTGATAGAACTTTCGACTTCCTGTCCATATGTGAACAGTCAGAGCTTAGTACTTAATTCGTATGACATGAAGCTATACCATATGATGCACAACAATTGAGGGTGAAGAATGGTTGTGTTTATCATATTGATGGCTTGTGACCGAGTCTAATTTTCTTCTTAAAATTGATTGACGTTTGATAAAGAACTTATTGTTCACGTCATAAGTGGATTGAATTTTAAAGAGCCTATATCTCTATTTAAGAAATGCAGTTTTAACCCCATTGACACAGAAGGAAAACTTTCCTTCATTCTTGTTGCGTTCATTTCTCATTTCGTGCCGTTGCGAGGAATTTATGCACGTTCAGTTTGTTTCGGAAACTCTCATTTTGCTTTCCTCCAACATTTGCTTCACCGAGGGAAAACATCTCACTTCCTGCTATGAAATGATGTTATCATAGCCATTTAGCAAAGCAAGGCCAGATATTTGTACTGAGTCATATCATAAATATAAATCTCATGTAAACTAGGTGATGAGTAAAATATTCTCAGATCGTGAATCTATCTCCTAATGTTCTTAAGCTGGCGAACGCGCAGATGTTGGCAGATGTTTTTGGCTCACCCGCTACTTTCTTTCAACTAGATGTCACTTACGGAACCCGAAGCTACACAACATCTACAACTACAATTGTTGTGGGCCAAGCATCACTTGTTTAACACTCACCAACAACCTAAAATGCTTTCATGACGTTTTGAAAACATAAGAGGCCGCTTATTTAAACAAAATTTAGCCGTTGTTTAACAAAACCGCGTCCTAAACTATCCTGGGTTTAGCTGAACCTTTTATGTGAACATTCATATTTGTGAACAGTTTGAAGAGAGCTGAAGGCTAACAGTATAAGAACACTCATTCAATGAGAACAAACCCCATTATAGAGAATATACAAGACCCACTGCTTGCGTAAAACTGCGGTTTGGATTAGACTTCCAGTAAATAACTGGTCCAATATGTTTATTTAAGGCAAGGAAGGAAATAAGATAACCCAACGCCAATTCCTCTGAATCTCCTAACTTTCCATACAAAATTCTTCCTTTTCTTAAATTAGTTCATTTCGTGTAAAGAATATTCTTTTATCTAGTCTTGAGTAAACAGCGTTCAGTACGTCACGTCCTAACCCATTAAAAAGAAACATGCTGTTTGGATTTGATCTAATGGGTTTACTTAGTGTACCGTCATCAGAACGCATTTGTAGACTATTTTCATTGACGAAAAACAGGAAAGCAACTATCAGGCAGCCGCACAGAAATACTAGGAGATGAATTTATCGTATTTTCCAAAGCCTCATTAATACACACTTTAAAAGCAAAGTTTTAAAAACAAAATTGCAGACTAACGACAAACCAAGTTCTGATGCAATTCCACTGGCTGCTTGCCTTTAGCAGCTGTTTAGCGATTAAATTCAGTAAGTTTCTAAAGAAATTGGGGCGAACGACCATAATTCAGCCAATCTTTAAATTACATTTTAAATTAATGACTTCTCAATTAAAGCTTCTGGCTGTTTTACCTCGCTATTAGAACAGTCTTTCGATTTTAACACGTTTTTATGACATTTCGGTTTTCAAATCAGACCGTTTTTAGAGGGGCTTTGAAATTGAAAATAATAAAAAGCAAACTGTGGGAGTTCTAAAAACGGAGAAATATTGACTTCACACTGCAATGTGAAAATTATTTCTTTTGTGATGTTGGGCTACATTTACATAGCTGTCGAGAACAAAAGAGATAACTTATAGCAGATACACAACTCTGTTTTAAAAATTTTGCCCTTTTCAGGCGAAGGTATTACGTAACTCTGGACTTGAATCTTTGTAAAATCCATGTTAAAAACATTGATAAGATAAGACTTTAATGTGAAAAAAAACCGATGTCCTTTGATGCTTTAAACCCAAAGTGTAACCATTTCCACCAAGCTCACCCTTGATGATGTGCGGACGTGAGAAAAAAATTGAGTCGGAAATTACAGTCGAGAACTGCTGGAAAAAGTCCCGATTAAAATAACTGAAATATAAAGAAGTCAATCATCGGGCTTTGATTTGTTTCCTTTGTTCTGTATGTCAGCAGAATTTAGTCTTGAGACAATATATTTTTTTCTTGAGTTGGACTTGTTTTTCTGTTATTGAAAAAAACATATCTTCTTTCACATTACATCTTTGGAAGAGCTTGCTCTTGCCTGGTAACCCTCATTTTGGTGTATTCGACCCAGTCTCCCTAATTTGATGTAATCGACCCAGTCTCCTCGCTCGCATCCAATCAAATGGGCTGTACACGCTTAAATCGGGTGTTTGTTACACAGAAAGATCCAATCCTTAATCAAACTCTGACAATTCCCTCGTTTAACTTCCTTTGTCGATAGATTAACAACCACGTACGAAAAACGCAGACGGCAAAAGTTACTTCTGAATGGGTTACTTCTCTTAAAGACAATTTCGTTTGCTTTTTTTCTAACCTTTCTAAAGATCCCCAACAGAAAAATCTCCTTTTGACCGTCAAAGCCAATACGACTCTCACAAACCACTGAAAAACATTCTCAAAAATTCACCCCTGTCATTTCTAAAAGTGTGTCCTGCTGATTCATATGATCGAAAGAGGAAGTTAAATGTTGAATAATAACTAACAGTAGTAAGTAGGAAGTAAATAATAGATATCTGGGTTTGAAAACTTAGAAAAAATAAATAGACAAAATTCTCTATTTAAATTTCGTAAAACAGCGCTGATGAACCTGTTTGACTTAAAAAACATTTCTTTAAGGAGAGTGGTTGCTGTAGGGGGTTCTATAATTCCCCCGTTAGACAGGTCATGCGGTAGGCGCTGATATTGCTTTAAAAAATAAAGGCAATAATTTCTTACCTGCAGCATTTAATTATATGTGTTTTTTAATGATTGATATAGTTCTGTTCAGCGATAACATTTCCGGCAGGTGTTTATTTACAGTACTAAATGGGTTCGCTCTTTGTTTTGATGTAATTGAAGGTTGGTGTTATATTCCTCTCACGTAGCTGTAAGTAGTGTCGAGGCTTTTCTTCGAGGATGGGAAGGGGAGGCTCTATAAGTGACCTGTGATAAAGCCCAAAATTAATAAGTGACGTGTGATCGAGTTTTACAGAAAGGCAAAGTACGTTGAGGTTTGAAGTTTTCCCTTTTAAATTCGTGACGCGTGAAATGCTGTTTAAAGTACATACGAAAAGTTGAAAAGTGAATTTTTCAAAAAAACTTATGCGTCCTCTCTGTTAAAGAATTTAAGTTTAGTCAATTGACGCACATAGAAATTGAGTTAAAAGGCATAAACGTGGTGAGTGATAAAAGCCGAGACTTATGCACGTGATTCCGAGATCTCAGTGTGGAAAATCGAAACTGAAACTATTTGTGTGCGAGAATATCTTCGCTCACAAAATTAACTCTTACCTACTCTTGCAATTTTTGAGCAAGAACATCGGTATTGACAAAAAGTCCTAGTAGTGAAAGAAATGTCAGGTTTTGAAGCTCAGAACAAAGGCTAACAAGATTCCAAGATCGAAAGCGCATAATTTTTCAAAGTACCGCATTTGCATCTGTAGCTCCTAGCTATAAAGATAAATTCTTTGTCAAATTTCCCGTTCGTTGACTGATAATTTTTTTACTAATTTGCCACCCGTGCGCGATTGCAATTTACACAACAACACAAGTGATTGTCAAAGAAAGGATGAATTCGTTCTAAATATATGCAACTCTAAGGCAAAATTATCTTGTCTAAGGTTATGCTTCGTCCATAAAAGTTACTTTGGATTTTATTTTTATCCAAGCATAAACTCACAGAAACTTGCGTGAGATGTTTTGTTCAGGCTATGTATGTGTGAATTTGTTTTACTCCCCAAGATTTAAATCTCATGATCTCTTAGAAATTTTTCCACCTGATAGAATTTTCGACCTCCTGTCCATATGTGAACAGTCAGAGCTTAGTACTTAGTTCGTATGACATGAAGCTATACCATATGAGGTACAACAATAATTGAGGGTGAAGAATGGTTGTGTTTATCATATTGATGGCTTGTGACCGAGTCTAATTTTCTTCTTAAAATTGATTGACGTTTGATAAAGAATTCATTGTTCACGTCATAAGTGGATTGAATAGAGCTTACATCTCTATTTAAGAAATGCAATTTTAACCCTATTGACACAGAACACTTTCCTTTGGGTTCAAAACAATGACTAATTTCACTGAACTTCACCATCATTTCATCAACCAAACAAAATGTCCTCCCGCTGTCTCTGGGACATTTACAGCATTTCTTTTGATTGCCAGCGTATTTTCCTTAGCGGGAAATCTTCTCGTGATCATAGCCTTCATAAAAACTCCGACACTAAAATCAAGAACAAATTACTACATTGTCAACATGGCAGTTTCCGACTTGGTGTCCGTTTTCTTCACCTGGCCGCTCTTTGCTACCGAAGGGATGCTAAAAGCAGATGGAAGTCTCATTACAGACATTGAAGTCTCCGAATTTTTTTGCAAGCTTGGGATTTATTCACGCGCTGTTTCGTATGTGGTTTCAGTTGCAAGCCTGGTGCTGATTGCCGTGGACAGATTCACTGCAATTGCCTTTCCACTGAAAGCTGTCGACATTACTAGAAGGATTCGAGCCTTTTTCCTCCCTTTAAGTTGGGGGGTTCCTTTGTTGGTTCAAATTCCTTTTTTTATTTACAGTAAAATTGTCAAAACAGAACGGTACACTTTTTGTAGAACCGTTGCGAAGAGCTCGATGCTGCAAATCTACAGTTTGGTTGGTTTTTGCCTGGTTTATTGTATGCCATTAACTGTAATATTTGTTCTCTATCCTCTTATTGTAAGACGCCTAAAGAAGCAGGCACAGTTTAATATAAGCCATAACAGACAAAGAATTCTCCAGTTAAAGATCAAAAGGATTCGACAAAATCAAAACATAGTGAAGATGTTTAAATCAATAGTGTTTGGTTTTTTTATTTGTTGGACGCCCATGTACGTCTACATGTTCCTAAAATCTCTTTATCCGTCAATATTCGACAAAGATAGATGTCTCGTAATGGTGGGTTTATTCTATTATTTCTGCCCATTGCTTAGTACAGCAGTAAATCCTTTCATTCTTGTTGCGTTCAGTTCTCATTTCCGTGCCGCTGCGAGGAATTTATGCACGTTCAGTTTGTTTCGGAAACTCTCATTTTGCTTTCCTCTAATACGTGTTTCACCGAAGGAAAACATTGCACTTCCTGCTCTGAAATGATGTTATCATAGCTATTTCATTATTAAAGCAAGGCCAGATATTTGTACTGAGTCATCTCATAAATGTAAATCAACCAATTTATTTGTAAAAGAGCTTTATTTCTCATGTAAATTAGGCGATGAATTAAATATTCTCAGATCGTGAATCTGTCTCATAATGTTCCTAAGCTGGCGAACGCGCAGATATTGGCAGATGCTTTTGGCTCATCCGCTACGTTCCTTCAACCAGATGCTACTTACGGAACCCGAAGATACACAACATCTACAACTACAGTTGTTGTGGGCCAAGCATCAGTTTTTTGGCACTCATCAACTACCTAAAATGCTTTCATGACGTTTTGAAAACATAAGAGGCCGCTTATCAAAACAAAGTTTAACCGTTGTTTAACAAAACCGCCTCCTAAACTGTCCTGGGTTTAGCTGAACCTTTTATCTGAACATTCATATTTGCGAATAATTTCAAGAGGGCCAACGGCTAGCAGTATAAGGACGCTCATTTAATGAGAACAAACCCCCTTATAAAGAATACACAAGGCCCACTGCTTGCGTAAAACTGCGGTTTGGATTAGACCTCGCGTAAATAACCGGTCCAATATATTTACTTAAGGCAAGAAAAGAAATAAGATCACCCAATGCCAATTCCTCTTGAGATTCACAAAGAGTAATCTCCTAACTTTCCATACAAAATTCTTCCTTTTCTTAAATTAGTTCACTTCGCATAAGAATATTCTTTTTTCTAGTCTTGAGTAAACAGCGTTCAGTATGTCACGTTCTTACCATTAAAAAGAAACATGCTGTTTGGATTTGATCTAATGGGTTTACTTAATGCATAGTCATCAAAGCACGTTTGTAGACTATTTTTATCGACGTTAAACAGGAAAGCAACTATCAGGCAGCCGCACGGAAATACTAGGAGATGGATTTATCGTATTTCCCAGAGCCTCATTTATACACGCCTTAAAAGGAAAGTTTTAGAAACAAAATTGCAGCCAACAAAGCTTCTTAGAACAAACCAAGTTCTGATGCGATTCCACTGGCTGCTTGCCTTCATCAGCTGTTTAGCGATTAAATTCATTAAAGGGTGTAAGTTTCTAAAGAAATTGGGGTGCTGCGTCGGTGGGAGAGTACAAGGTAATTTGATATTATCAACTGAGTCGATAGCGTAAATTGGCTGACGCTCCAAACGTCAACTTTCAAACTCTTTGCATTGGCCAATTTACATTATCGACTCAGTTGATACTACCAAATTACCCTGTTTATTAATTGATTCATTTCTTCGTGCGATTTCATTTTTGTAGTTAAAGTAAAAATGGAATGGATGTGGATATAACATAGTGTCTTTATTTAGAATATTCAACAATTACTCACCGAAGTTAAAGTGATGAATATTTAACGAGCCGCGAAGCAGCGAGTTAGATATCCATTACGTTCACCGACACCGAGATGAAGGATTGTTTTATTGTATGTGCTACTGCCAAAGAAAAATTTGTTAATTTCTGTCAATATATCGAAAAATAGTCGGAAAGTAAACACTTGACGCGCGATTTTGTCTCTTCTGCTGTTCAGAGGTGAATAGTACTCCTCAGGAGAGGATGTACTTGCTAATCACTTCCAAACCAGCCAATTAAAAAAGTATTCTTCACCACTGAGGTCAATAATAAATGTGAAAACGAATCTACTTAATAGAACAAAAAAATTTTACACATTTAGGAATAAGATTTAAAAAATTTACGGAATACTCGATAAACAAATTAGCTCTTAGCATGAAAAAAGTAACTCTGCGCAGGAGCCAAGTGGCCGACAAGACTTTTCCGGTCTACGTAGTACGGAATGAGTAGGAGTGCTGCTCTTCCCCCTGGAACAGACCCGAAAGGGAAACGTAACAAGGAAACTCCGCCAGGGCATTGACTAGAACAACGGCGGATGGTGATTTGAGGCACGGTAGTTGACTATATAGGAACAATCCAAACATTGCGTTTAGTATTTTTATTTATTTCTATTATTCTGCCTGCATGAATACATGAATAAACATAACCCAAAAGTAAAATTTGAACCTGATTGTAAATTAGCATCGTGTTGATCGATATCGTCTATTTGTCGCCATGGTAACAGTGTAACACTCACATCCGAAGGAATTACTCCCCTCCAGCCAAATCAAAGCATCTCTTCATGCGGACGAAGCAGCACAACTCGCCAGCACAGCTAATGGAAGCCTTCCTGCACATTTCAAGCAGCACAAAGCAACCTCTCTGTTGGAGATATGTAAATTACGTTATTCTAAATAGTTTACTCTTTTAAGAGAACCAATGACAAAGAAATGTATTGTAATGATAAATTTCTAGGGCGCTCTCTCCATTGGCTCGTGATTGGTTTTAGTTTTGCAACTGATTGATTGAGAGAGTAGCGCACGTTTCCTGAACCAAGGTAAAGGCGAAACATGGAAAAAAATCTCAAGAGTTATGTTTTACTAAAAAAATTCAAAAAGTTACCAGCAACCGAAAAATCATGATTCAGTGCTTCACTTCGTTCAGGAATTGTTAAACAATGAGGATCTCAGGTTTCCTCGAAAAGACCATGGTCAATTATCGTAATCGTCAACGTTATCACCATCGCTATCGACATCGTCATTATCGTCGTCGTTGTCATCATTATCATCATCATTGTTATTATTACCATTGTCATCAGTATCGTCATCGTTGTCGTTATTACCATTATTATCAGTATCGTCATCGTTGTCATTATTGCCATCGTCATCAGTATCGTCATCTTCATCATAACCACCATCATTAACATTTATCGTCATCGTCATCGTTATTGTCTTCGTCATGGTCATCCCTATCATTACAGTTATTGATGTTATCACGGTTGTAATGACAGCTATGATGATGGTGATGATTCACATTATGACCGCGATTGCAATTCGTGACATGTGCGTAGAGTGAGTCAGGCACTCACCACCAAAGGAGGAATTGAAGGAAGAGGGGATGGTAGTTTTTCCTTTGCGCATCCGAAGAATTTATCCAGACATTTAAGCATTTTACACCTGTCCTCCCCTGCTCTCCTCCAGCATCTGATTTTTCTTTTAATACAACGTTTCTGTTAAAAAAAAAAAAATGAACATGATATCGATTATGATCAGAAAATGGAAAAAGAACTTATAATCTTTTAAAATTCTAATAAAGGGAGAAATGAATCGAGGTTGCAGACGTATGAAAATTGATTATATTTAGAATAAACGCTCAAATGTGCTCTCCTTGACAATCGCAGACGACTTGTTTGAGTTAAAGATAAAAATGCAAGAGGTAATTTTGGTTATATTCAGTGGCCCTAAAATATTAGTCAATAAAATATGTTCTAAAATATTTTTCAGGCAGATTACCGCCCCGTTAGCTTGTTAAGGGTGTTTCTTTCCCCTTTTCTTTTCCTTAAGGACCACATTTACCATTTAACAACACAAAATGAATACGTTTTACTACTACAGAAAATAGTAGTTACTTAAGAAATAGATAGCACTTTCTATCGGTGTTAGGAGAATACGAGAAAAGTTTGTAGGTTACTCACCTCCTCCTCCGATAGGAAGTGCGATCAATTACTTTTTATAACATAGACTAAAAATGTTTCAATTTTGCATGGGTTTACCGTCGCAATAAACGATAGGTTTCTAACCAATCGGGGCGCTGGTAATAATTCAGTTATTATATCTAACAAACTGGTTGGTGTCTTCACTTACCAAGAAATCTGGTGGCTCTTCGTGGTCATTGGCAATAAGAGTTGTTTCTGGTAATCCATTGTCTCTCACAGCCTCGGCCATTTTAAGGTCCTGTTGCTCAGTTATGAAATTATACGAAGCCCTGTAAATTGCCACTTCATTGGAGAACACGTGCACCGCGAAAGCTGCCAGAAGCAATAACGCAGTGAAAGACTTCATGGCGACGAAATGTTATCAACAGTGCTGTGTCGAGGCAACAAACATGCCTTGATATAGTCTCGGAAAAATCTCATTTAATTTTAAACTCTGCATACAGAAACAAAAGTTGATGCCAAGATATTAGCAATGTGTTTGGACAGCTTCCGTTGCCGAGTGCTCGCTGAGATTAACTTCACTGTCAAGCGGCTCTAAATTTGCACAGATGCTAAAGAACGAACCTATCTCATTCTAAAGGTAAGATTCCCGCCCAGTTGGAGAAGTGTTTAATTGTGTTATCGCTGTCTCCGTCACGGAAGCAAAATTTGTTTTAACCATCAAGCGCAGGGAGGAATAACCTCAGTCCCTTATGGAGATTCGGACGACATACTTTCCGATTTTTGTGCGGTCCACTGAGATACAAAGAATTTGTTGAAAAGCTATATCGTCTATTTGGTTCGCTTTCACTATAGACTGAACATAATTTAATATTCGCAGTCCAAATTAAAATTATACATTTTTACTTTTTATATTATTTTAACTATAAAAATTTCACAATTATTAAAAGTATTTTTTTATTGGGGAGGGGAACACAAAAAAAGTCTTAAAGTTTACAAATATGACATATGAGATTAAAAGTTTGTCTTTCTTTAACATGAAACCGTAAGGGGTACTTAACTTTCAGACGAAAAAAATACTTAGTTAAAAATATAAGATAACTTGGTTTAATTAACCCAACGAAACCTTTGTTATTCAGATAAAGAGCAGCAAAGCAAATTGCTTTTCCATGTTTGCCAATCAGTGTAGGGATACAATAAGCAAAAGATAATTAAAATTTAAAACTCATCTGCATGAGCACAAGTACTTAAGTCAAGATTGGTGTAACTTCTGCATCAAATTACGTAAGAGAGTAAAACCAAAGAAGTTCAGGATACTTTTGAAACTATACTGCCAATTGCCCCCACATTTGTCAAGTGACCTATTCATGGTATTTCTTGCACCAGATGCATATTGAACACTTAATTGCAAATATGGAAACAGAACACAAGCAGGAGATACTACACTTCTAGTTCGTAATATATTTGTAAAAACAAATAATTTGGTTTCAAATATTTATTACAAAAGATGCTAAACAATGCTATTTACATTTGAACTAACTGCTTCAAATTGATATACTTTTCCATAACCACCTAAGGCATATGTCTCTAACACTGACTAAAAAACCAAAGCAAGCTTTACGATAAGTTTCCCATTCTGAAAACGCGGAAATATTCAATTTCAACCTTTTACGGACACTATCTGGAGAAAGAAATTCTTATGCATTGTTTTGACATTAATAATCCTTTTGAATCTGGGTCGATTGCTGTAATTTCCCAATAAGTTAACTTTAATAACTTCCGTCGTCATCGTCATCAAAGTAGTCGACTTTTCTTGCTCGGTATGCGTCTTTGAATTGTTCATCAAACAACTCAAGATCTTCCTCGTCACGTAATACACCCTGATGAATAAAAATGAGATAAATTGAGGTTAACAATGTTTTTAGATGACAACCAGAAATACTGTTGGGTTAACTTTGTAGTCCTATTTATTTCTGTAGGTATAAGCAGAACATTAACCATTATTTTTCAACGAGGCAGAGATCTGCCTTTATTCTGAGAAAACCGTTAAAGGAGATGTGATAATCAAAAACCATACGCATTTTTCTCCTACAATCAAAAAAGTATATGTAAAAATTTACCACTCACCGCGTTTAGAGTTTCGAAAGAGTTATATAACCATTAAAAAATTATCTTCATATGAGCTACGAATTCGACTATGAACGCCAAAATCAGTTTATCCCCACAAACTGCTGCTGCTCTGTTTATCACTACCACCTTATTCAGTTTGAGCAAGAATGTTTTGTGTTTAGTTTCCAGTTGTTCAAACTGATGATTACGAGGTGAAGAAAAGAGTGAGACTCTGACCGTAGCGTCCCAGATAAGCGACTTGATAGACAAAATTCAAAATGGCGTCGTTCGTGGTCGGATTTATAACTCATTTAAAAGCAATTTTCGTTAGGTTTCTCTTTGGGATCTCAAAACGCAGTACTTTCGACAAGCGGAGACACAAAGCAATACTTTTTCTGGACCATACTTTTCCTTTGAAAAAATTGCTTGAATGGTAGAAAAGCACCGAAACGAAGAGAGCAATCCACATACACTGTAGAGACGGGAAGGCTAAGGATGGAGAATGATGGATTGAGTATTTCGAAATTTTTGGCTCAGAAGCCTTTTTCAGGCCTTTTACTGAGTTTTTCAAACTTGAAAGGAACTAAACCTAAGCAATCAGCCACGTTCGAAGTGTCATCTGGAAGGACGAATTGTGCGACAAGTAGACGACGTAATGTAATACAAATACTACTATTGTGCTACATAAATATCAATAACAGTCAAAAGACACAATAACAGAACACAAGAGGTATAGGAAATATCCACCTTAGGTAAGAAACCAAGAAGTTTGGACGCGTGTTCTTGCAGCATCCTCTGTCTTTCTCTTTCAATAATTTGCCTCCTGTATTCCTCCATTCTTTCTTGTTCACGACGAGCCTCCAGTTCTGCTTCCTGATAAAAAGGAAAAAAAATAATTTTCGTAAATGAAACAATCATCAACAAAAAAAAAATAGAGGACATTACACGGCCGCGCGGAGATACAAAGCTTTGAGTGTTGAAAAATGTTTAAAATAATGGCCTTTAGAATTTTTGATTTCGGAAAAAACCCAGCCATAAGCAAAATAATTTTTTTTATATTTTTATATGTAACCATAGCAACAGTGATCTTTTATAACCTTCACGTGTGAAGAAACATGTTTTCGCGCGAAAGCTCATTTGGTATTTCATTGATGTATAATAAGACAACATATCTGCTGCACTTAGAAGAAACGTGTCGTCTAACCCTTTCCCTCTGGAACTGAATTCTCCTGTCCTCAATCAGTTTTTCTACTGCTTTCTTGTGTTCCAATTGCTTCATTCGTCTCTTCTGAGCGTTCATTTGTTCAATTCGGTCATCTTCTGCGAATTTCTCGAGCATCTAAAAGAGAAACATTTTTAGTGTCAGCAAACAATGGTGGAATGAGCACGATTCCTCTCAGGAAATAAGTCCGGTCAGTGGAGTAAAACGCATCGAAGCGCAAGCAACACTTCGTGTAGAATACCTTTCTTCTGAATTCGTCTTCTTCTTCCCTCTCTGCTTGTCGCTTCATCTCCTTAAACTCAAGTTGCTGTCTACGCGTGCTCTGCAAGTCCAACCGTTGGCGAAGCCTGTTTTCAATCGCCATCTAAATAAGGATAGAAGCAAAACGAAGAGTCTCAATAAATGCGCCTTCATGATAAGATGCGCGTGGGAAATTAAGAGCATTTCTTTTTAGATTTGTTATCTTGGTGTTTTCCTTTCATTTAACATAATGAAATAATCCTTTAGTAGATTGGCCAGTAATCATTTGGCTCTAATTTTTGTTATTCACATAAATTTTCAAGATTACAATATTTTTTTCACTTCATTCGTTCCAAAACAGACATCTTTACACTTTCCTTTCTATACAGTTGAAGTTCCAAAGTTTAGTCACTGAGGATGAAGGAGATGCAATGTATCACAACAAAATTAAGGAGACTAAGAAAAGCCTTTACCTTTTCCTTCTGTCTCTCCATTTCCTCTTGTTCCTCGAGATACAGCTCTGTTCGAATTCTGAATGGAAAAAGGAAAAAAAAAGAGATTGATGACACCGTATAATTAACAGTTCCATTGAAATCAAATATGCAGTTGCACAATCTTTAATCCTTCATTCCGTTAGTTCGTTTGTCCAAGCGTCAATTGATTATCTGTTCGATTTTTCTTTTCTGTACCTTTCCATTTCTTCCCTAGCCTCGGTTTCTTCTTGGATTTGTTTTGTAAGCTGAAAGGAAATACGTACGTTAAAAAAAAAAAAGTTTTAACATCATTTTTTTTCTTCCTCTGCACATTAAATTGCACTTAACACAACAATTAGCTATAAACCATTCCCTTTAGACAAAAAAGAGAGCGAAAACCACCATTTGCGTTTAGTTTGGGTCTCTCGTTCTATGTTAAAACTGTACTGATTATTCTTCAAGCCAGAAAACAAAATTTAACAACTCAACAACGCTCTGACCAGCTCGCTTCTCTCTAATAAGCCCCCTCTACCAGCCTATCCTTAAAACAATCAGTTAGCGTAAAACACACGGTACACATTTGAGCTGGGTAGCGTTGCAGGTCAAAATATTCTAGCAGTTTAAAACCTGTCGTAGTTTCTGTAGATAACATAACATAACATAACCAAAGAAAAGCAAAGCACGCATGGCGGGAGTTCAGAGTAAAAACAAAAAAACAGAAAAATAAAATAACTCAAACTGCGGCCCTCGATGAGTTCTTATTAAGTCTCTCCCTCTCTTGGAAGTGTCCTTCTCCAGTATATTCACCTCCCCTACCGGAAAGCCCTGGGAACTAATGAGCCCTCAGAAGGCTCATTACAACACACACGCTAATACTCGTCATAGTATGATCATAATACCGACCTTCTGTTGCACAGCTGCCATACTCTCTTCTTGCTGTTTCTTCTTCTCCATTCTATCTTCCTCCCGTTGCTGTTGCACTTTTGCAAACTCCAAAATGCGTTCATTCTCCTCCTCCATCAAACGACGCTCGTGCGCTTTCCACTCAGCTCGCTTCGTCTTGAACTCTTCAATGTACCGCTGAGTAGCCAATTGTTTCTGCAGTCTATTTTCAAGCTCCCTTGTGACATTAACAATGAACAGTTTTGAGTATGCACTTTTACCGATACATTTAGCTATGTATGGGTTAAGAATACGTCTCCCTCTATCTGTTTAAGAGACTACTCACTACTAGTTACGAGTTCAAATTATTTGTTGTGTGTATGTGTTAAGCCAGTGTAGGAGAAGGCAGTATGCGTGAACGTCTTGGGTACATGAAATAACATGTACCCCTCCCCCCCCCCCCCTTCAATAACAATGTGTGCTAAACTG